TGACCTCGCAGCCACATCCAAGTGCGTGAGCAGTGGATCAGTTGGTTTGAATAGAATGTAGATCCGTGTGGGTTTTGTGGGACTTCCCACGTGTAAGTTCACATCTGGCTGGAGCCTCAAACTGGTCCTGTGCACGGGGACCCTGTACCCTTCCCTTATGAATAGAAGCAGAATGAAACAGCCTCGTCCTGCACAGCATTAGTTTGAGAAACGGCACTCTAGGCCAAACATGGAGGCAGCGGGAGATGAGGCTGTGGGCCCCAAAGTCAAAGACCTGAAATCGATCTGAGGCCGTTTGTCACATTCCGTTTTCCGCTCAGGTTTTCGTCAGTGTGCAGACGCTCCTCACCGCCCCTTCTTCCCTTTCCTTCTTGTCACTGCCCTGAGTTCTCTTTCCATGAACGTTATTTTTCTGTGCACGTTGTGTGCAGCTCTGTACACGTGTTCTGCACATGTTACACACAATTTACAAATTTCTCGTCATGAGGAGTATTAAAGTATTTGTTGCGTTTATGTGCCACAGTTCTTAGCTCCTCTGTTTGGAGCCATTGCTCCTTTTTCCTGTTATAAATAGTGCATCCATGCATATTTTTTAACAAATCATTTCTTTTTAAATTTCTTTTGGGTTCCCGGAGTCTGTACCCAAAGAAGAAGTAGTTTTATTGCCCCACAGAAAGACATAACTGACTTATATTATGGGAGTGGATATATAGACTTTCTCTGTGGCTCCAGGCTGTGCAATTATAATACTTTTTCTGTTACTACTTTAGTAGGCCTGTATACTCACCGTGAGATTGTTTTAATGGGCTTACTTCAGGAGGTGAGAATGTGATGGTTTGATTTTAATATTTTCTCAAATTTAAAACTGAACAATCTTACAAAGACTCTTACCAAGTTGAAAGTGGATGTTGACATCCTGTATGTAAATTTATCGTTACATAGAATGCATGTAAGCTTTTCTTCCTTGTATTTCACACCTTCACTGTTCTGTTGGTTTTCTCATCGTTTCGTTGTATTTTGTGGTGTAAAACTTGTTCATTGGTGTTTATATGTTTATATTCAACAATGCCATCTCTTTTGCAATTCTGTTTTCTTGGTGAGAAGTTATTTTCCTCTTCACAAGGGGGATAAATATGCTATTCTGCTCTTTTCTAGTTTTTAAAATGCTATCTCTTGGATCTCTCTGGACCTTAGTACAGTGTCTGGTATCAGATGTGGATCTAGGTTAATTTTCCTCTATACTGAAGTCTCACTGTACCGGTAACTTTTGTTAGTGATTTCCCCCTTATTTTCATGATTCTTGTGGCTTGACATAAGTTTTTGACATGTCAAATGAATATATTTTTGGAATCTCCATTGTTATATTACCGTTTGTTTCAAAAATTAACTCAACATACATGCATTTCATTTGTAATCTATTTTAATAAAGCACCCTACCACCATGGCTTAGAAATAGTATCATTTTACATCCTTTCCTCTTATTCTTCGAGTTGTGTTTCACTGTTAGTTGGTATAGCTCTCTAAATCTACCTGATTTTTAAAAAAATATTGTTCAATTTTTATTTTCTTTTAAAGACATACTGCATACATCTTAAGACAAAGGACACTGGACATGAAGAAAGAGGTCCACCCCAGCCTGTACGATCTAGTGCAGTCACTTCTGTTCTTGTGTGCGTCCTGCTAGCTTCATTACCAAGCCGGGCTGTGATCCTCGTTTCTGCGGTTTTAGCACCGTGCTTACGCAGAAGTCCTGCCCGATTTCTGGCTGCACTGTTGGCCCCACGAAGACAAGTGTTTTGGGTGCTTTTGGAAGCAGTGATTTTAGTGGGGTTGTGGCTGGTTAATGAGAGGATGAGGTTGAGGGTTCGAAAACCTTATGAGTCAATCAGCTTATCTCTGATCCCAGGCTATAAACCCTTCTCTGTGCTTTGGTCACAGAGGAATTGGGAGAGATGTGTCAGCATAGACTTGTCGCCATTAGTGAAGGAAGCTGTACGTGGCATGGAGTATTGACTGTGTATGTGGCTAAAACTGTCGTATGGGGCCAATATTTAGACATTAATAAGGCAAGAGGGGAGAAAATATAGATCATTAGACTAGGGTGTTTGTTCTGTATGAGGTAGCTTTTAATGTGTTCTGTCTCAGTGTGTCCTGAATTTTTAGAATTACCAGTAAGTTCCCTGGGTGGTTTCCCCATCTCAGGGCTGCTAGCAGAGGGGCACATGCGGCTTCAGAGGGCACCCGTGTGCCTGATGGAAGATGCCTGTGGAGGTTTTCAATAGAACCCTTCATCGTGTGGGGGGTGGGGTCATCTCTGAGTGAGTGCCATAGCATTTTTCTGTTTGATTATGGACTTTGTGACACTATCAGGTGACTCCAGAAACTGAGAATGAATGTTTAGTATATTAAATTTTTATCAAGTTCCCGAATAATTAAAAAATGCTTGGCAATGAAATTAGCAAAGACTTTATGATTATTCAGAGATTATAAACTCTTACATTGTATAGCTACTCTACACTTAAACATTTTTCTTCTGCTGCTTGGTAATTTCCTGGTTTCTTACTAGTTGCCTAATGTATTTTTCTGGCAGATTAATATTTGTTACCTCTAGCCTGAGTGGCTGTCAGATTCACTTTTTCCTTCTATCTGCTGTTTCTCCCCTTAGAAAATAATTGAAATAATAGGAGATGCATGTAATACACAGAACTTTTAGCTCACAGTGAATAATTACCAATATCTTATGTGATGCATTACAACACAGAATGTGTTTCATCTTCTTTGAGGTTCATGAAACCCTGTGAGGTGGGAATTATTGGTACAGCCATGTTTACAGAGGTAGATACTGAGGCTCAGAGACTGTGTAACAACCTGCCTTCGGCTACAAGGTAATTAGTAGCAGTTCAGAACCTCTGGTCGCAACTCTCATGCTTCCCCTGTGTATCTCCTGGTTATCATTCTTTTGGACAGAATTACATTTTATTGAAAGAGAATGGAAGTGGTTTTTTTTTTTTTTTTTAAATCACAGTATGTGGTGCTCAATTTAATGGGCTCAATGAATCACTGACCATTATAATGATGCAATATGTTTTTTCTTAAGGATTATGACTATGCAAAAGAAGATGCTTATTTTTAAACAGTATTTTGAAAATATTTTCCTTATTGATCAAGTGAATGTAGTGTGAAGAACTTTTCTAATTTTACTCAAATGATCTCATTTAAGGGAAAAATTTATCCATAAGCACAAGCTGTAGAATTCTGAGTTTTTGGATGCTCTTTTATATTCAAGTTTTAAAAATTTAGTTTGGAGGTATCTGTTGCCAGAATGTAAAATTGAGGTTGATTTTTGTCTATCAGCCTGTCCCCTGCGGCCTTGCTCTGTTCATACATTGGTTTTACTGGTTGTTACTTTTAGTAGTTTGTAGATTCCTTCCGATTTTCCATATAAACTATAATGTCTTCAGCAAATTGAGACCATTTTACTTTTTTCTTTGTCATCTTCATACTTTTTTCCCTTGCCTTTAGCAATGTATATGCTACAGTAGTAGGCACAAGTTTGAGTTAGTGTTGTTACAATGTTCTCGTTGTGATAAGACTTCCATTATGTCTGGCTTATAAACCATGGATACAATGTTGGAGAATTTTGTTAAAATTACAATTTCAAAACATGTACTGATGCTCATTAGTAATATATGAAAAGTAATTTTTGAGTTATTAGGACTTTCAAATTTCTTCTTCATATATTGCTAATGAGTATCAGTGTATGTTTTGAAATTGTAAAGGGAGGATAAATGGTGATGGAAGGAGACTTGACTTGGGGTGGTGAACACACTATACAGTGTACAGATGACGTATTACAGAATTGTACACCTGAAACCTATATAATTTTATTAACCACTTTAACCCCAATAAATTCAATAAAAATTAAAAAAATGCAATGTAAGGAATTTTGATAGGTGTTCGTTGGCAATTCTGACAGTAATTTAAGAACTTTTAAAAGTTTACAGCAGTGAAACAAACAGGATCTTAATAAAAATCCACTCCACTGAGGCAATGGGGCTAATTTTAGATGCTAAGTTTACAGAGAAGCATGTCAGGCGGAGTGAGAGAAGAGGAGAGATGAGATTGGGATAGAAATCAAGTATCTGAAATGCAAACAATATTTTTGACTACTCATGGTAACAGTATGCCTATAATTAAGTAATATTTGAAATATTGCATAGAGGGATAAAAAGAGGAAGAAGTTCAAATTTACCTCAGACACTTCCAAGCTGTGTGAACATGGACAAAAGACGTCCTTAGTTTTTTTTTTTTTTTTTAAACTGTAAAATGGATGTAATAATAAGCAGCTTGCAGTATTGTTTGGATCAGAAATAATATAGGTAAAGCACTCAGCACATATCAGGCATGCAATAATGTGTACTGATAGCCATGATTGTTATAGACTCCATCCTTTAGCATTTACTTATTGAATTATTATTTAGAAATTAAGTTGTTACACTTTATTCATGGATACTAGCAAATATCACGTGTCATCAAAGGAAGGGAACAATGTCTTTGAAGAACTCTGTCCTGCTAAAAGGGTATAAACAGTCTGTCCTGGAGTCTTGCTCTGACAAGTGAGGAAGTAACCGTGATAAACTATGGCCGTGAGGGTAGTTGAATCATTCACCAACTTCCTTCTGTCCCTTATTGTGATTTACCCCCGAGTGGGGTGTCAGACAACCATGCCTATTTCCCAGGACCTTGAGGACTTTGCTGCTATGACCCTGTGCTCAGTTGTCCAGGGAGCACCTGGCACCCAGGATTGGGGGGGATGTTGCCTCTGTGGATGTCTGTGGAGTCACTGGTGGTCACTGGTGGTCACTGCCAACTACTGTGACAGCCAGGTGGCCTTTGCCAGGCTTTGCCTTCATCATTCGCCTTCCCTCCCCTTCCCTCTCTCTGTATCTAGGCTGCTTGGCGAGGCGTCCTTGGCTAATGGTGTGACCTCTTTTTTCTAGAATTCTGAAGGTGGACTCTATGTATGCATGAATACATTTTTGGCCTTTGGAAGGGAACACGTTGAAAGACATTTTCGAAAAACTGGACAGAGTGTGTACATGCACCTGAAAAGACATGTGCGAGAGGTGAGAGATGCGCCTTTGGAGAACTGCCTTGATGTCCTGCCTGTAACATCGTCTTGCTGTGTTTGTCATGTGGAGGTTTTACTGTAACTCCTGGTTCTCTGATGACGGGAAACAGAAACAGGACTGTTGTAGAAATTCATAGAGTCCCCCAAATCTTACCTTAACCAGTTTTATTTTTCTCTTCCTCTGAACTTCTGCTTCCAGTTAAGAAGATGAGTTGACTGCTGGAAAAATAATAAAGTAAAAAAAAATACAAAAAGTACAGAAAATAATACTAGAAATACTCATGAATCTAAAAGTCAGAAATAAAAAGTATTTGGATATTTTTGCTTCATATTTTTTTTCAGCAAGAGAAAGAGCTTTCTTGAAAGTTGAAGTCTGTTTTGTTTCCCTCACTCCCAGAAGTAACCATAGTCATGAAGTTGTTTCTCATTCCTATGCATGTAGGTATTCATCATCAATATGTAGAATGATTGTGTGTTTTAAAGATGTAGATAAATAGTGCCATACTCTTACTTGTAATTCCATGTAAAACTTTCCCTTTCGGCATTGTTTTGAAATTTGTTCATGTTGTGATACATTTGGATGTACTTAACTCAATTTAATAGTTTGATATTCCAAACTATTGGTATTGTTTGGTATTCCACCTTGTCACTTACTATTCTATTCCATTGATGAACATTTAGATTGTTTCTATTTTTTGCTTCTATTAACAACGTAACAGTTAATGTTTTTATGCTTTTCTCCTGGGGTACAGGTTCAAGTTTTTTTAGGAAATATATGTAGAAGTGGTAATGTTGGCATGTGGGTGTGTTTATCCTTATTTTTACTAGATATTGACAATTTTTTTCCCAGATTGGCTGCACCAATTTAAACTCCTGTCTGCAGTGAACTCCTGGGTTTCCACAGCCTCACCAGTCTGATGGTTGTGAAGTAGCGTGAAATGTTTGGCATTTCCTTCTGGGAGAGTTGAAACCCTTTGTTTATGTTTATTGGACATTCTGGTTTTCTCTTCTCCGAGTTGCCTATTTATATTTTTGGCCTATTTCTCAATGGATTTTTCTTTTTGTTAAAACTTTTATTTAGTTCTTTTCACATTCTGGATATAAAAACTTTTTGCTTTGTGAATTATTTTATAGAAGAGAAGCTTTGAATTCTGAGGTACTAAACTTTTATAAATTGTGCTTTTTGTATTATTTCTAAGAAATTGTTTTCCAACTTAAGGCCATAAAGATATTTCTTCTGATGCTTTACTTTTTTTGAGAAGTGCATGTGTGTGCACACATGTGTGTTTTAACATTTTAGATCTTTAATCCACCTATAATTTATTTTTATATCTCTGTGAAGTGTGGGAATCTATGTTTTATTTTCTGTATTGATAGCCAAGTTGTCCCACTATTACTAGAGTTGTGCAGTCTTTCCCAATAATTTGTAGTGCCACCTTTTTTTTCTTTTAAATATTTTATTTATTTACTTTTAGGCAGGGGGCAGGGAGAGAGGGACAGAAACATCAGTGTGTGGTTGCCTCTCACACGCCTCCTATTGGGGACCTGGCCTGCAACCCAGGCATGTGCCCTGAATGGGAATCAAACCGGTGACCCTTTGGTTCGCAGGCCGGTGCTCAATCCACTGAGCCACACCAGCCAGGGCATAGGGCCATCGTTTTTATATTTTAACTTGCCATTACCACATGGATCTGTTTGGGGGCTCAGTTCTTTTCTGTTGATTTTATTGACTACTTTTTGGTCTCTGCATTGGTGTGACAAGCCTGATATCTGCTAGTGCAAGCACTTTTTCCGTGTTAATTTCCCCTAGAACTTTTCTGGGTTTAGACATTCATTTTTCTATATGGATTTTGGAATCAGTTCATCTAGTTTAAAAAGTCCTGTTGAGATTCTGATTATGATCACATTTAACCTGTTGATTAATTTGTAGCCCACATCATCATATCAGTTTCGTGGGGGCAGGTAATTTTGTCTCTCTGTGTCCTCAGCACTCAGCAGTGCCCAGCACAGAGTAGGTGCTTCATAAATGTTTATTGAGTGACTGTTCAACATGCCGTACCTTTCTATTTATTCACAGCTCTTTTATGTCCTTCAACAATATTTTATAACTTTCAGTAAAGGAGCTTACATTTTGTTAGCTTTTTTTAAAGGTACTCTGTGATTTTTATAACCTCTGTAACTGCTGTCTCTTACTTTTTATGCATTTTAATTGGGGATTGGTGGTGTTTGGAGATATTATTAATTTTCAAATGTTGATTTGATGTTTACCAACACTGTTCAACTTTCACTTTAGTTCTAATAGTTTGTAGATTATCTTGGATTTTCTAAATCAGCAATTTTCAACCTTTTTCATCTCATGGCACACATAAACTAATTACTAAAATTCTGTAGCACACTCAAAATATATTTTTTGTCCATCTTACAAAAATTAAGTATAATTTTGATGTATTCACACCAGACGGCTATGGTGGTGTTGGCTGCTGTCATTTTTTATTCTTTGACAGTCTAAAGGAAAAGAGGTCAGTGCCCCTGACTAAATAGTCAGGTATTGCATGTTTTAAAAATTCTTTCAGCACTCCAGTTGAAAATCACCGTTCTAGGTCATCAGTGCTGATTTGAAGTTCATCTACTCTGTCACCCTAGCCTACTTAACCTGTCCTCTGTTTAAACTTTGGACAGTGAGGAGAGATCCCAAATTAGACAGTAGGGAGAGTGGGGTGAAGAGGAGGAGAGAAAGGCCGAGAGGTCAGATGAACCATAAACCCACTGATAGCTTTAAAAGAATCTAATGTTGGCTTAATATTGTATGATTTAAATTTACTACTCCTGTTAGTTGGGGCATAGCAGTTTCTGGGAAGTCCTCTTTGTCCCACATATTCCTTAGTATCAAGTGATGGAGATTCTACAGAATTGGTGCAGGGGTGGAGAATGAAACAGGCCCAGAGACTTGAAATAACTCGGTCACGGAGTTGGTGGCAGAGCTGTGGAGTGCCAGTAATCTCATATAGTTAGCTCTGCCTCCGACATTTTAAGTGAAATACAGGGTCCAGCACAACTAATGCCCCCTTTTTAAGTACAAAATCATAGGCATGTAATTCTGTAACATAGTATCGCACTCAAGCACACCATATCACATTTTAGGTGAAATGTTCAAATTAAAGCTACAAGTGATTACAGCCATATTATTACCCCACCAACCACGCTCAAGCAGGCCTTACTTCTGCCCAACCCTGTGTTTCACTCTCTGATCACAGCCCTCTCTTGGTGTGGCTCTTTCACTCATTTATTTTGATTTGTTGTCCCTCTTTGGTGCCTTTGGGCTTGTGGCTTGTCCAGGCAGCCACTTCCCATTTGGTTAGCCTGCTCATCAATTAGGGTCCAGGACTTTAAACATTCTCTTATCGCCTATACCCTCAGTGACCCTCATCCCCTTGTCTTGCCTCTTGAACTGTCCTCAGAACTCTAGCCACTGTTCCCACTGGTACCATTCTCTGCTTTCAGGTGCACACAGTTAGGAATCCCGTGCTGCCTTGGGGTCTGGGGCCCTGTCCTGTTCCTGGCCCTCCCCCTCTGCTGGGCCCTGTCCCTGCCCAGCAAACCGAGTCTGTCCTCTCTCCTGCTCCAGACTTCGGACGCTTCCCCGGCTCCTTGATTCTCAGAAAATGATTTGCCTTCTACTGTATGTAGGAAACAGGGACCCCTGGACAGAAACTCTCCGAACTCCTTTCTTGCCTCCTGGGAACTTAGGTGCATCCAGTTCCTCTATCTCGGCTGAAAGCTTTCTCTCTCTGTCCTCCTGGTCCTGTCTCCTCCTACCTGCTCCTTCACTAACTCCACTCCCTTTGCTATGCCCAGTCGCTCCCTGTTCTGGCTTTTTCCTCCCACCTTACAAAAGAACACGCCACAGAATTGCCCTTTAATGTGGCCTCCTTTAGTCAGCCCATCCTTTGATTAAAGCTTCTTTAAAAATTTTTCTGTTCTCATCATCTCTGGTGCACCTCCCATTGAGTGCAGCCTTTCAGACTGCCCTTTCTCACCTCCCTTCCCTAGCACTGCTTTCTTCACTTACCCTTCAGGCACGGCATTGCCTAGGGTTTCCGTTTGACCCTTCTGTCTTTTCTCTGAAAGCTACTCTTCCTCGTTCCTGTCGTGCACATCTTGGTTTAACCACTGCCTCTGAGCTGATGACTCCCACCCCAATATCTTCCCAGAGCCGAAGATCTGACTCTGACCTGGCTTTTTCTACTTGACGCATCTCATAGGTACTGCAGATTCACTGTGCCCAGCCTGAATAAGTTATCTGTCCTCTTTCTCAAAGAACAGAGCGTTGTTCTTTGTCTTGAATTCTGGAGACCTAGACATCCTTTCGATCCTGCTTTCATGCCGTGACTGGTTGGTGACCAAACCTTGACTGGGCTCCCAGGTAGCTCTGAAGTCCACCCTGCCCTCAGCATCCCTTTCTTCCTGCCTGAGTGCTCATCAGCCCCTAAAAGGACTAGTGCTGCAGCTTTCTGACTAGTCTCCTTCCTTCAGACTCGCTGCCCTCGATCTACCCAGCCTGCATGCTGTGCCCAGAGTGAACTTTCCAAATGCTTGTATCTGTGCATCTTGTCTTAAATCTCTGACGTCTCTCCCTTTGCTGTGGGACGAAGTCCAGACTCTTTTGCACGTGATTACAAGGCCCTCCATGGTCTGGCCTGTGGAGCCTTTCTAACCCTCAGTTTTACTCCACCAGCCTTGTGCTCTGGACACAGCAAACCACTTCTCTTTTTTGGAACACACTGATTTTATACCTTTGTACAGAGTTGTTTGTTTGTTTGTCTGTCTGTCTGGGATGCATCACTTCCACCCCTTCCCCTCTTCTACCTGTTGCATTCCCTGTGGTCAGCACATCCCTCTCTCTGTTTGACCTTTGTCATCCATCCATTCACCATCCACCCAGCAAATTCTTGCTGAGAGGCCGTTATATGCCAGGCCTGCTGTTCTTACTTGATTATCTCTGGCCACGTACTGCACCTCCTGAAGAACTGTCATTTCCTCCTTATTGTCATTATTGAAGTCGGTAGGTCTGAAGGAAGGTGCCATTAACTTCTGTAGAGACGTTTGAAGTGATCTCCAGGATTGTTGAATGTGCGTACAGGACAGGTTTATTTTCCCTCTTTTTGAGGCAGGTAAGTGGGGGTGGGGGAGAGGAAGAGAGGCCCTGAGGCCGGGGAGGAGAGGGGTTTCAAGAGAGCGACATATATTCCGCATTAGTATTTGGAGAAACAGGGTTCTGAGATGAAGTGTTCAATAATTCTCATGTTCCTAAAATGTGAACTATAGAGTTACAGTAGAAGCTGTAAAAATATCATGTGAGAATCACGGAGGTGAGTCAGCCGTCAATGCCAAGTGGTAAAATGTGGGCAAGGAGACTTCGAGCTGATAACGGCACGGACGAACGAAGCAGCAAGGCCTGACGCTGCCGTCACACGTGACCACGTGAGAAGGTGTCGGGGTTTGACCCGCACCCCCGCTGTTTGTCAGAAACGTGCTCTTTTTCTGTTAGCTGAAAGAATGTGCAAGGTGGACATGGAAACAAACATTTTTATAATCCGGTTTGAGAGTAAAATTTATTGTGAGTGTCAGAGGGTAACGAATGACCTCTTTTGCATGAACACTCGGTGGGCGTTTATTTCACTGGTACCAGGGATTTCTGGGATCGGCAGAAACTGCACGAAGCTTAGGGTGGTATGTAGCCAGCCATGAAATGTTTAGGGAGGTTAGATTGATCTGTAGTATGACCAGAATATCAGTGACTATATATTGGTATTTATTAAACCTTTCAACAGTAATAGCTGGGCATGCCCAGGCCCAGCCACCGGGGACCCAGCAGGTAGTGGGGCCAGCGTCTGCCGGAGTAGCTCCAGCGTCGGGCGTGGACACCAGCCCCTTGGGAGGATGTGCCGGCTTGAAGTTGAAGCATCTACTCGTACTTCACTTTGATGCCTGGTTCCACTTCCCTTTCCAGAAGCACTTTCTTTATAACTTGGTGAAAATAATCAGATGGAACAATAGTGTTGCCCTTCACTTACCTCCATTGACCTGGGTCAAGTTCCTGTTTATCCTGGAATCTCGAATCCAGGTTGAATATTTCCTCTGGACTTTTATAAAACCTGGGAACCTCTGAGATTTACTCCCCGCCCTCCCCACCTCCCTCAGTCATTTATTCCATGGGTTGCATTTTAACAATTTCTTGTTTTCTTTTCAGAAGGTAAAAGGGGCGTCTGGTGGAGCTTTACCAAAAAGGAGGAATTCCAAGATTTTTTTAGGTAATGTACCTAGTTATCAATAATGTGCCTAGATTTTGTGTGTGTGCACATGTGTGTGTGCATGTGTGTGTTTGATTCAGCCTGATAGGTTGCTTATTGCCCTACAAGTGAAGAGTGAGTGGAACCAGTTTGACTCGAGGTGGTGGGACTGCCTCTCGCGCTCACTGAGTGGTGAAGGGTGTCTGCACCCTCGGCCGGTTAGCGTTCGAAGCCCTCATGCCTGCAGCCACTGGGGAGCAATTGTGATTCTGCGTCTGGTCTCCTTTCCCGCTGCTTTTACAGAAAAGCCAGTTTCATGTCTTTCTTTTTTTTTTAATATTAGCTGAACGACAGAGTTTATTGGGGTTTCACTTTTTCCACGGATGTCCTGTCGTGTTTCAGAATCCCCTGTGGCATGCAGTGGTCGTGCTTCCTTAATCCTGTCTGATCTGGCATTGCTCCTCACTCTCTTTCTGCCTTTAATGATTGTGACTTTTTTGAAGAGTAGTGACCAGGTACCTTTTTTTTTTTGTTTTTTAGTAGTGATCAGTTACTGTGTAGAATGTACCCCCACTTGGATTTGTTTGATGTTTCCTCAGTATAATGAGTCTGAGGTTACCCATTTTTGGCAAGTGTACCAGAGGGTGCACTTGCCAAAACAACAGGGGAGCAAGATGCGGTGTCTTCAGGCTGGCGAGGTTAAAGGTGTCTGCTGGGTTTCTCCTGGAAAAGTTGCAGTGTAACTAATAAATGCATTAGAGTGATATTTGGAGACTATGCTGATACCTTGTTTCTCCTAAGGGTTTTGCTCACTAATTTTATCACCCATCAGTGGACCTTGCCTGCAACTGTGATTGCTGTGGTGTTTGACTAACAGTGATTTTCTGTTTCCTTCATTCAGGAGAGCTGGTTTTGCTTATGCAAATGAGTACTGGTTTCTGATATCATGTTATCATGATCGTATGCCATAGTAAGCTTCTGATAGGGTTTTCCCAGGAGGAAGAGTAGTTTGCTGATGTCTGACCAAGCAAGTTTAAATCCCTAAATGCCTGGGATTATTGTTTGAAAGAAATTTCAGAATCATTTGCATATTAGTTTCATTTTGGTAGAAACATCTGTACACACACATATATGTATACACATATACATGCATTCGCATATACATGTATATGTATATGTATACAGATATCGACATGTACATGTATACATGATACATGTATACATGTATATGGTTGTTTGTATGGAAAATAATACAATGCTTAATAAATAATAACACGAGAATAAACTATATGTTTTGCATATTCACAACTGTAAACCTACTTTTGCCCGACTCTGTATATGTAAATATTGACATGTTTGTATATGTGCATGCATATCTATATATGTAGGTGCATGCATGTATGTAAATGTGTGTGTGTATATGTTTGTGCACACACATGCATATATGACTGAGAGTCTGGAAGAGTCTGGCAGAATACACTCCAAATTGTTAAAGTAGCTTTTCTGGTGGTGTGATTGAGGTGATTTTTATTTTCTTCTTTTCACTTATCTGTTTTTAATTCTTTCCATAACGAATATATGTTACTATTGAAATGAAAAGGCATGTTCATTATTTGTAAAGTAAAGCCATTGGAGACAGTCACAGAGCTGGTTTTTCTTCCTGTTTTGATTCTCCATCTTGCCCTTTAACCTTGTTTCTTTTACTCAGAAGACTTCGGGGTTTGGTTTCTTTAGTGGTCATTTGTGGTAGATGACAGTGTCAAGTAAGTGTTTTAAAAAATTAACCCAAAGGTAAGCACTGAGGTTTTGTGCTGTATTCTGCATGGACCCCATTCATTGCTCCCCGGGAGCACTGACCCGCCAGCCCGTTTGGGCGGGGCTCCCCCACACACCACTCTGTGTGTCCCCAACATTCCATGTCTCCGGAGACACAGATGTGCCTAGAGCTCACAGCCCAGCAAAAATGTCCTCTTTGGGCTGTACCAGTTGTTTTCAAAGTTAAATTTGAACCTCATTAGCACTCTGGGGGTTGCCCCAGCCCATTTCTCTCTACTGTCTTATACTGGATGCATCACAAATTTATGTTGGCTACTTCATCCTGGCAAGAATTTGCTTTTGCAAGCCCCCGTTTACAGCCCTCTCAGCTGATGCTGCCCATCTTCCAGCGGCAGGCACTTTTCCCTCATCACTCTGATCACGGCTCTGTCTTCAAGTTGGTGTGGCCTGTAAGTGAACTGCAGTGAGGGCTGTATTAAGATTACACATGGCTTATGTAACAGAAAATTTAAACTACTGCTGAGTTCAAACAAGACAGTTGTTTATTTCTCTCATGTAGAGGATGTGGGGAAGCAGCAAGTACAGGCTGATGTGACAGCCTCATGTTCTACTAGAGTCTAGAGTCTTCCCATGTTTCTGCTTCACTCTCCATGCTGGCTTGTGATTTTTAACTTGATGGTTACTTTATGGTCCAAAAATGGCTGCTGGAACTCCAGCCATCACACCCTCATCTGGAAAGCAAGAAAGAAGAAGGAGGAAGGACAAAAATCTAATCTCCTAGTGGAGTTGCTTTTTTTTTTTGGTCAGCCTTCTTACAGACCTTTAAGCCAACACTTCAGTTTGTATGTCCCTGGTCAGAACTTGGACACATGGCCACACCAGGTGCTGCACAGGAGACTGGAAAGTGAAGTGTATTAACTGGCTTCATTACATAAAGCCTGTTACTATACAAGAAGAGAGGAATGGATACCAGGAGGCAGCTAGTAGCTTCTGTCAAAGATTCCTTCCCTAAAAGGAGCATTGGGGTTGTCTCTTTATGCAGAGGATGAGAATCAGAACTCTTTTGCAGTCTCTCTTGTTTGTTTGAATAGAAAGTACTCTCTCACTGCTATTGAAATGTAGTTATGATGCCCCGGCTCCTTCCCAAAACTCACGCAGATGACTAATACTTTCTCCTGGAGAGAGGCTTTTTTCCACATTCACTTGATGACTGGTGAATAATTCCTTTTCCTTTGGTTTAGCAGTCACATTAAAACCATTGAACCAATCAGTTATGACCTTCAGCACTGATTTTATAAGGAACACTGAGGCCATTAGCTGGTGCTCAGTGGCTTACCCTGAGTCTCCTGAGCACCATCCTGCCCTCAGCAGTCAGGTTCCCTTCCTATTTTGTTGGTATTCATCAAGGGAAACCACAGCTGAGCATCCTTCCCTCAGCTCTGGTGTTTGCTGCGGCGGGGGGGTGGGCGGGTGGGGGGGTGGGTGTGTATATGAGTTTTACCAACAATGACAACTATGGGCAACTTTCGAATCATTTACATTTTATACTTCTTTTTGCATTTAGCATTTCAAAAATATTTTTTGAATGTGTAACCCATGGAGAAAACTTAAAATTGCAAAGTTATAAGAGGCTCTATAATGAAGAGCAAATTTCTTTTTCTCCCTTCCGTGTCTCCTGGTTCCTTGGTTGGTCTCCCCAGAGACAAACGGTATTTTCTTTTTGTATGTCCTTATATATCTTCTGTATTCAGTGATAGTCTATACGTATACCATGCATTTAGACTTTTTCCTGTAGACAGTGGTGAGCCTTTAACACTTTGATTCCCCAGCTGTGCTCTGAGGCACCCTGGGGTGCTGCAGCAGACTCACAGGTGCACCTCGGGATATTTTAACTCTGTAAGGGAACACAGTGATGCTGGAACACTGCATGAACCATGAGCTCATGTATTTTCACTGTTAGAGTATCTGGTATTCCTTTCAATGACTTCATCTCTTTGTGAAGCTGGTTTTGGGTGGTTTCTGTGGTAAAAGGTTGGTACCAGGTGAAAATGAATGTGGAACAGGAAAAAGGGAGGCGTTGTCCGGCCTGATTCAAAAAGAAGCTGTGTAGTGCCCAACAGGTGCACTCATCCCATACGTGAGGAGTTGTGGGTGTTTAAGGATGAACAAGAACATTTTGTTCTTTCAATTTATGTGCATTATTTTTTCAAATGGCTACTATATAGTTAGAACATAAATACTTATTGAGTTGTTTGGACCTAACTATTAACTAAATAAACAGAACGTGAGGACTTTGTGGGGTGGGGGGTTTCCTGCTTCTGTGTAAAAATTGCTGGGATGCTGTGAACTGAGAAAGTGTGGGCAGCTCTGCGTGAATGTTTCCAGTGAGAAAGGGACACTAGTATAGGAAGATAACTCACAACAGTATGACAGATCATGCATTTTAGAAATGAGCTGACATAATACTTACCGCTCTATGAAAGAGAAGGAGAGGAGTGGATGTCAGGGAGCCTGGGGTCTTTAAAGAAATACCCAGCACTCCGGATGTGATTCCGGCCTAATCTTACAACAAAGCTACAAACGTGTATACGTGTCTAAATAACTGCTAATGCATTTCATAAGAATACCATATTTTTGGTATGTCATAAAAGTCGTGTTAAATATTCAAATTTTTGTTAAGTACCCCATCCCCCCCAGCATTCATAAACAGGAGTGAATAAGTTAGGTGCTTCTGTGTCTGAGGGCTGGGACTTCCAAGAGCCACCTCGACATCAGAGAGCTTACAGTCCATTTTGGGGGGCTTCGGCCTTGGCATTTCTACTTGAGAAACAGGTTGTGCAAGAGAGTGTTTGGGGAAAGTCCCAGGAATGGGGCTTTTAGAAGGCTCACCTGTGCCTGTCATGACTGCAAGGCCCCAGGGAGTGCCATTCTGCCTTTCCGCCTGAAGCAGGAGGGTCTGTGCTCACGGGCTCCCCCTGCACCTTCCGTGGAGGGTAAATGGGTGGTGGGATGGCACAGCCCTGGCCGGCGGGGGTGGAGGGGGGCAGGCAGGCGCTCACCCCCAGCACACAGGTGGAAGTCAGGGTGGTCGGGCCGAGGGAACGCTGGGCCGCTGGGCTGGGCGCAGAGCCTGGTCCCCACAGGGGTGCAGTCCTCGCTGTGCTGCCTCCCGGTCCGGTCCGGTCCGGGCAGGCTCCTTCCTGGAGGTGGGGCGACCTCAGCCACTTCTCCCGGGGGTCTGAGAGGCTCACTGAGGTGGAGTTGAGGAAGTGGTATTTTTCTCTAAATGTTTTTTTAAACTTAGGGAAGGGGCAGGAATTACCAGTTACTAGCACCGATGGGAAGTGATTGCTGGGAGAAGTTGGGGGTCCCTGTAGGTTTCTCAACTAGATATTTTTGGGGTGGTGAGACTCTAATTAGAAAAATTTGGAAATTATAGATTTATCCTTCAGATTGTGGAGTCATATATATTCCGGAAACAGTTTAGATTTGTCCCTTAAAATAAGAGTGTAAGTTCTCTCTGTTGACTTTCTCTAATTTGAATTAAGATGTTTGGAAAGATTGTGGTCCCCTTCCATTCCATTGAATTAAAAATAAAAGTAAACTATAAAGTAAGTGTTGAGAAATCCAACAAAGTTCTGGTTTTTTTTTTTTACATGACAGTGGTCTTGCTTCTTTTGAAACATGTAGCAGTTATCAACTAAAAATATAAACAACCCAAACCATAGCAACCCTATGATGCTCTTGTGTTGCTGTCGTCCTGAGCATGGTGGGTTTTTAACTTCTTCGTCTCCTCTCCCAGACACTTACTGAGTGTGTGGCATGTGCTGCGCACTGAGCAGGGGCCCGGGACATGGAAGGTGGATACGACCCGTTTCCTGCTCTCTCAGCTTAGTCTGGAAGCGTTCCAAGTTCATCTGTTCTCCACATTCAGATCACATGCCAGATCCCCACATGGTATCGTGATCTCCTCAGACTTTTCCCAGGATTGCTTTGGAGCTGGGCAGCCTAAAGCAAAGGAAGGCACGTCTGGTCCTGTGGCCAGGAGTGTAGGGAAGGCAGTGATGGTGATGGTGAAGGTGATGGAAGCTGCTGCCCATGGAGCCCCTGAGGCCGGCCGGGTCCTGTACTAGGGGCCCTACACCCTTACCTTGTTGAACGCTCTCAGCAGTCTTGTGGAGTAGATGGTATTACCCTTGCTTACTCTTGAGGAAAATGAACGTGGAAAGAACTTGCCCAGCATTACAGAGCTACTAAATGTCAGGATGGGATTTTCTTGGACTTAGTTTATCATCGTTTTTGTCCAGGTAAGATGTGAATCAGCATTAAGTGAACATGTTTTCTATGATAAAGAGACACCTACATAATATGTTATATAAGCTGAATCTACATATAACAACAAGAGATTTGTACTTTGGTTACTTAAAATTGTTATAAACAATACAATAAAGAAAAATGTAAGAATAGAGAAAAGTTCACCCACTTAGTATTTTCATTTTCTTAGGTTTCTCTCCAATTCTTTTCTCTGAGCATAACTTCCACAAAGTTGTCTTTACAGTGAAAGTGGCTTTGTATTTTTAGCATGAGTATAGCATAAACATTTTCATGCTTCTATCTACTCTCAATAAATATCATTTGAGTAATAGTCTATTGGGTTGAACACCATCCCATAGATATTGGGGCATTTAAAATTTTATAACAGAATATAGATATAGAATATAACATATAAAATAGATATAGTTATTGAGGCATTCAGATTTTTGCGACGTAGAATGACTGTCTTTGAATCGTTTCCTTGAACAAAATGCCCTTACTTCTTAAACTCTTAGAATCTTCTTTGACATTGTTTTTTGGGAAACAAAGCTCTTATGGCTGGCAGCATTTTTGTTTCTCTGTTTTCTGCATTTCTGCATCTTGTCATTTAGGATCTTCCATTAAACGACTCAGACTCTTTTAGCTGTATTTCATTTTCTACTTAAAACTGCTCTCCCTTTGGAGAATTCAAGAGCAGAGCTATCTACAAAAAGATACTAGGTTTTAGGTTGGAGGCAGACAACAAGGTAATGACAGAATCTGGATGCTTTGGTATTCAGCTGGCTGCTTGGTCTAGTGAAGTAACTTTCTTGTATCTACAGAACCTGTGTTTGTGTACCTGTTTATGTGTGGGTATGTGTGTGTGTGAGTGGAATGTGGCTTGGTAGCTCTTTGTCACCATAGTTCCAAACATCTAAATATACAAACATGATCTGGGGTGCTGGCACCATGTGAACGCGAGGCTGAAATGTCCATGTAAATATCATGATGAGACATTTCCTTGAGCCTTCACCTAATCTTTACCAGAGGTCAGCCAAGCAGAGAGGTGATGATTTGGTACAATAGTCTAGAGGACCTCATCTTTCGTACCAAAAATCCTTCTCAGCCCCTGGGCAGCAGGACAATTCATATTATGGAGTTTCCCCCTCTGATGAGCCATGCGATATCTCAGCAACTCTCAGTGGGGGAAGAGGAGTGAGAGGCAGAGAGGGAAAGACAGAAGTTAAGATTTTATTTTTCAATAATAGCTACTATTATTGATGGCCTATTCTGTGTCAGGTCTCTTGTCTACAGTTTCTTATTTATTCCCCATATAAAGTGTATGAGATAAGTGTTATGATCTCCATTCTGCACATGAGGGAACTTGAGGCTTAGAGAGTCTGTGACTTGCTCAAAGTCATATTAATGTTTGGAGCTAGAATTGAACCTAGGTTTATCTACCCTGAAACCCGTGTACTCCCACATTACAGTGTTGGGAAGAACACTCCAACCCATTCTCGTGAAGTCAGGAGCCAGGCACCCAACAAATCATAATGAGCAGTCAATATTCCTTTAAACATCTTTTAAGAATTGAATATCTACATATGCTTCACTGTAAAACTGTATGATATGATGCAGTCTTCCTTATACTACTCTGTCACTTATAAATAAGTGTTCATGACTTAGGACCGATGGAAAGGCCTTTTACTTCTGCTTCGGGGCAGGTGGTTGGTCCTGTCGGAGGAGGGAGTTGTCAATGTCATGCCCTTGGTCTGTCTCCCCCGTGGATTTCTGGCTTTCCCAGTGAGTGCTGCCTCAGTGTGGAATGTTCTTTCTTCACGTCTTGTTCTCTGTTTTTGTTTTCTCCTCAGATCTAGATACTGATGACGATTTAAATAGCGACGATTATGAATATGAAGATGAAGCCAAACTTGTTATATTCCCAGACCACTATGAAATAGCACTACCAAATATTGAGGAGTTACCTGCCCTGGTCAGTGAGTGTGCACGGCTGCTAGCTAGATGCGCGTGACTCTCTGTGTCAGGTGTGTGCGTGTGCGGTGTGTGTGCACTTGGGGGTGGGGAAGGCGGGTTGAATGAGAGAAGAATGAGCATGAGCAGAAGCACAAAAAGGCGATCAGGGTTCCATTTCAGGAGCTTTGGGCCAAATACCCTCCGCTGCTTGTTACGTCCCATGCTGTTTGGGCTTCGGGCTCCTTGGACTGGTCGCCTCCAGGTGGGCTGGCTGCCTCCAGGTGGGCTGGCTTCTTGCTGCCTGTGACTCACAGTCTGTTGCTTAGATTTTTCAAGCCATGCCCCCAAGATGTGCAGGGGCTGCTGCAGAGGGTCTGTCTTCTGATCGGAGGAACGACTATATTTTTGCCTCGTCTGCATGTTGGTCTTCCATGTAAGATTTTGTTTGAGTTGAAATAAAAGAGACCCGCTGTGGAAACAACAGCAGTACGATGATAAAAAGAGCCCAACATTGACCTGTCACGGCTCTGCAGGAGCTCTGCGGTAACGTGAACCTACTTTTCAGTTTTGTTCCTCACAGGGACTAGGATTACTTTCTAGGTATTAGACTTTAGATTTAGTGGTGAGTTTTTTTCTCTTCCCTTCCCGTTTTTTCTGTGGCATGACTTTCATCCTCCTGAACTTAAAGCTGGGGGTGGGGGTGGGAGTGGGAGGCAGCCAGCTTCTGTTTGACTTTGACTTTTGAATCCTGGAAGTGGGCACAGAGTTCCTGTGGGGACCCTAACCATTTTCCTGCTCTCTCCTCATTTCCTGTATTGTCTCTGCCACTGCATCCTTCTTGCTTTTGTTTTCTTTCTTTTCCTCTTTTCCACTTTGTGTACGTCCTGAGTTCTCAGGTAGCTGCAGGCCATTTGGACGCTCAGGGGTCAGCGTCCATTTGAGTGTAGACGTGCCAGTTTATTTTTCTCCTTCTCAAACTCTGCCAGAGCCAGAGCCAGGACTTTAGGTCCCGGAGTCTTCAGGACTTTGTGTGACCCTGTCCACAGCCACCTGCTCACTTGCGCTGGCCAAGAGGGGATTTTTGTGCTTGAGGTTCCCATGTCATTAGGGGCCAGGTTTCCACCATTCAACCTCTTGCTCCTGACTGACTTTGTACCTATATCTGTGACCATAGAAACGAAGATTCTCTGTACGTAGGTATTGTAGCTATTTCCTCTAACTATCAGATGCAACATCCTTTTTAGCACTGAGAACACACCTTTAGCAAGGCACACACAATTAACCGACCTCTGCCTTTTCCGGTTCCCTGTGTTGACTCCCGTGGTTGTTACCCAGGATGAAACATGTGAGTGGACGTGACGGTCTTGCCGCGTCCCCCACCGGGCATCACGCACTGACACGTACATCTTTGCAGTTTTTACTGAGAGTTGTCGTCGCTGTTCTGTGACGTGGCTCTGTGTCCGTTGTCAGAGAAGAAGCGAAGGAGAACATGGTGAATAAATGTCACGAGAAATGATTTTTCTCCTATTCACTTATAAAGGAAAAGTCTTTATGAGGAGAAGCTAATACAAAAGTGTTTCAATACTTTAAATTGTTCCTATATTCAGAGTATAATTTGAAGTAGGAATACTTTTATTTAAAAATACAGTGATATAGAAACCTGAATTCAGCTATAAATATGTATATATAAAATATCATAATTTTTAATACAGTCTTTTAGAATGAAGAAATATTTTAAGAACTAAAAAAGAAGAAGGAATTATTTGGAAGGGGAGATTGAAGGAAAAGCCTAGATTTATCTGATAGAATTTATACTACATTTTCTTTTGATGCTTTTGCTACATTTTGGTGTTTAAAATTTTTCTTTTCAAGCTTTTAAATAACAAAAGTTCTTGAGCTCAAAATCACCCAACCAGATCACCTTCTTCTTTCATCTCTTGAGCTTCTCAGTAGAAAAATTCAGTTCCAGAAAGTTACTCTGTGGATTCTACCAAGAAGTTAAACCACTTGTTAGTAACGCAGGGTTCACGGAGGTGTAGCGTTTGGGGCTCAGTGAGGGTTGTGTAATCTGGGATCCAGCACCTTGTTGTAGGCTTCAGTTCCTCAGGCCGGGGTGTGCTCGCCAGTGGTCAGCAACCAGCTCCCTGGGGAGAAGTCCTGCTTTGTGGTGCTTGCCGATTTCTGTGGTGTGAATATTGCCACTGTGGCTGAGTTCAGGCTAATGCCATGGTGTCACTGAGTGCTGTGTTGGGAAGAGATACACAGCAGCCTGCCATTATAAATAATTTCTGCCATTCACATAGCGCAGATGTGAAAATCCTCAAGAGACCATAGGTAATAGTCAGGTATAATAAGACCATTACAAAGTGTTTTGAATATTTGTTCCCTTTAAAAATATTTTTCATTTAATGACAAGTTTATATAATTTAACTTTTAGTAATGGCTGTGTTTAATAACCATCATACGGAATTTCTTACTATTTAACAATTGAGTCTGTGAGCCTTTTTGAGCCAGTTCCGGGACCCCACTGAACTCAAGGTCTCCGGAGACTTGGGATGGAGCCAGGACAGTCATTACTAGTAACAAGGTCTCCACTTCACTCAGACACCACATCCAGGGAAAGATAATTCACAGTATAATTACAGGATGATGTGTCCTGACCTTCTGCTCGGATCCACACAAGGGGCCTCTAAGTGATTTTAGGTGATACTCTCAAAACACTAGATCGGTGTTTTTTAGTGGCCCAGAATTGAAGGAAATTTTGTTGTCACAAGGAAGGATATTCAAAGAAAAGACATTATATCCAAATCTTAATAAAAAACATTGCACATTGCAAACCAGAACATGTAACAAATACCTAGTGGGGTTGAGAAAATCCAGAGGAGGACTGGGAAGGGCTTGAGGTGGACAGTGAACCAAGAAGGGGGCTAAAATAGCAGACCAGACTAAAAAGATTAGGATGTGTAGCCAAAGTGGGAGGGCGGCTTAAAAAATTCTCCTAAAATCAGGAAGGGGCTGCTGGCGAACTCAGCTCTGTTTTCTAGGGGCCAGCCCTGGAAGGGGGGTGAGAGGTGAATGTTGGCTATTGAAAGGAAAGGGTAACTATGTAGCAGCACTTGTGGTGAGAGATGAGCGGGAGAGCCTTTCACAGAAGGTTTTAAACTGTATTTTTGGATGTCTGCTCTGTAATGGAGGAAATGCTCTTTGAGGGCAGGGGTGTTTCCCTCATTCCTGACCGGGCCTCGCCCGTGTTGTCAGTCGGTAGTGTCCAGTATGACCTTGGGGGCTTTAAAGCTGGGGAAGGAGAGGATCTAATATTCACAGCAGATCAGTCGAGCTGTTGGAGGAAGGAGACGGTGGGGGGTGGGAGGCTGCTGTGTGGCCATCGGAGTGAGCTGTGAGGGTGGTTGGAATTAGGACGGGTGTGCTGAAAACAAGAAGAGGCAGGTTCCTAATAGGGTTTGGATGTAGGACTGATAGGAATTGCCCGTGGGCTGGGTGGGGGTGGGGTGGCAGCAGAGGGAACGTCCTCCATTGTCTCTTAATGAATTCTAGGATCAGTCAGTGCCCCCCAGGGGAAATACTCTGCATGGAGTTCCGTTATTAATTGTGCAGGATGTTAGTGATGCGGAAAGTAAATTTTTGTTTGAAAATTTTATTTTAATGGTTCAGTGGCTTTTATTATATTCAGAGTTGGGCACCCATCACCACTGTCTCATTCCAGAATATTTTTATTACCCTACAGCCATCACCTCTCAACCCGTCATCCCTCCCTGCCTCCCACCCCAGCCTCTGGCAGTCACTGATCTGCTTTCTGTCTCTGCAGATTTGCTCGGGCTGGACATTTCATATACATGGCATCATATAATACACGGTTCTTTGTGGCTGGCACTTTTTCACTTAGCATATATTTTCAAGATTTACCCACGTTGTAGCATGTATCAATACTCCATTTCTTCTTATTGCTAAGTAACATTCTGCTGTTTGCACATATGGCATTTTATTTACTCATTTATCATTAATGGATGTTTGGGTTGTTTCTACTTTTTGGCCATTATAAACAATGCTTCTGTGAACATTTGTGTATAACTTTTTTTGTGTGAACACGTGTTTTCATTGATCTTGGGTATATACCTGGGAATGGAATTTCTGGTCCTGTGGTAACTCAAACTGTTTGAGGACCCGTAAAACTGTTTTCCAAAGTGGCCGCAACATTTTATATTCCTACCAGAATATGTTTTTAAAGACAGCCAGAAATAAATTATATCATTTAGCAAACAGCCAATGTGATGATAGGCAGATGTCCAGGGTCAGCTGGGTTTGGGAGAAAGCAGAGAGTCTGCCCTCTCCCTCCCCACGGCCAGTTGGTGCCAAGCTGGGCATCACAGATTTGCTCACAGTGCGGACTGACCTGGCACAGAGATGCCCAGGTGTGTCCCTGTCCACATTTGCACCTGACTAAGTCATGGAGCTGTGCTGCTGCATTCGACTCGGTGCCCTTGACCACGCGCCATTGTGCGATGAGTTGAGGACGTCGGATGTCTGGGTGTGTATTTGTTAGGAGGGAAAATGCCCCACGGGGGGAAGCCGAGGCGTTCCCATAGCTAATTTCACCCTTGGAGGTTGTCCACCTTAGACTTTTCACTCTGCTTGCTAAGAGTAGGAATTGTTACACCTGAATCCCACGCTGGGCTCGCTAACCAGGTTGGGTTCCTTGCTGTCTCGTGCCACGGTTCATGCTACGCACTGTAGGCCAGCAGCCAACCCCAGCTGGGTCCAGGCGGGGGTGCTGGGGTCAGCAAGCTAGGATCTTGCTTTTGTAGTAACTGTAACCATTTGAATTTTCTTAGATAGGCTGCATTTATTAATAAACTTTTAAATTCGTTTTATAGAAGTTGCTGTTCTCTCAAACCGTTTACATATATTACATTCGGGTGTGTCTTCCAGGTAACAATTGCTTGTGATGCAGTTCTGAGCTCAAAATCTCCGTACAGGAAGCAGGACCCCGACACGTGGGAGAACGAATTGCCGGTGTCCAAGTACGCCAGTAACCTCGCCCAGCTGGACAATGGGGTCCGGATTCCTCCAAGGTGAGCGTCAGAAAGGGAGATGGAACGTTACCCCCTAAAACCAGCCCAAAGAAGACCTACTTTCTACATCTTCGCCGAATTAGCCATTCATATCATTTTCTTATCAGATGCCTTTTATTAGAAATGAACTCAAAAGTTTTCTCTAAAATCATCTGTACCTTTGTAGTAGATGCTGAACATGGCCGGCCCACACACCTGAGCCCGTCCCCACCTGCAGCTCTGCTGGAGGGCTTTCCCTGCCTGCAGAAGCCATGCAGGCCTGTGCCTGGGATGGCCAGAAATGCTAAGGAGTTCATGCTCCCTCCCATCCTCCTGGGACAGCCCTCGCCACCCAGAGACTGTGGAGTGGCTGGGGAAATAGCCCAGATCCCCACCACTCAGGTGGGGCAGCGGTCTCCTGGAGTTCCCCCGCTGGACTGTGTCCCAGCTGCCCAGGGTGGCCTCCTGTGCTTTGCAGTCTCACTTCCCTGTGGTGCTTCCTGGGATCCCCTCCCAAACAAGCCATTCGCATTCACATTTTTGTCTGAGTCTGCTTCTCGGGGAACCCAACTTACAACCGTCTTTGGTTGTCACGTGTTCGGCTGGAGTGCTCTCTGGGCCACGTTAGCACCCCTGTTAGGTGCTGGTGTGTCCAGAGGCAGATGCCAGAAGGAAAGAGCAGGTGGATTAGAAATGTGTGCAGTCTTGTTGAACCCGAACTATTCGATGTGGTCTTCGTGAAGGCGCCTCAGTTTCTCCACTTCACAACAGGGATGGCGGTACTGATGCTGAGGAGTGACTGTTAGAACTAAATGGTAGGGTGCCTGGTACATACCTGACACTTAACCTTTAGTTAAGTTGATTTCCTTTCTACTTAATTTTTGCAATCTAGTAGCATTTTGTTTAAACTAGTATTCTTAGATATGGTTAATGCTTTTGAACTTTAGATGTTTATATACATATCCTTAATGTTTTAAACTTGCTCAAGTTCCACTGTCCTGAGGAAATTGCTTCCCTTTCTGCCCTCAGTTTCTGTGTTAGTTTTCTGAAGCAAAAAGGCCCTTGCAGAGGGGATGGGAGGAGCTGGTCCCCCCCAACCGCCCCGCCCGGGGTGGCAGGCAGGGTACTGAGTGGTCCTGCCGCTCTGGGAGGTGTCTCAGGTTATCCCATTGATTGTTTACTGTGGCCCCAGCTGCAGGCACTCTGTTTCTTCCTTGTTAATTTTCTGATCCTGCCGTGCATGCCAGCTGTACTAACTGCTCTGCAATGACTTTCCAGCGGCTGGAAGTGTGCCAGGTGTGACCTGCGGGAAAACCTCTGGTTGAATCTGACCGATGGCTCCGTGCTGTGTGGGAAGTGGTTCTTTGACAGCTCCGGGGGCAACGGGCACGCGCTGGAGCATTACAGAGACATGGGCTACCCTCTCGCGGTGAAGCTGGGAACCATCACTCCTGACGGGGCGGGTGAGTGTGCCTGCACCAACTCAGGGACCTACCTGGCGGAGGCTCCCTCCTACATTTAAGCCATGTCTTCACCCGAGGGTTGGAGGGTGTAGGCTCTGGATTCTGACATCTCAGGTTTCAATCCTGATTGTGCCTGTTATTAGCCATAAGGTCTTGGGTGAGTTTTCAGATCCTGCTAAGTGTCAGGTTCCTCATCTTGAGGCTAACCATGGGCTTTGAGCCCGGTGTACACAGAAAGGTCTTAATACACGTTAGCTGCTTTTGTTACTCTCTTTCTGTGTATCTCTTGGCTAAGAGGGCAGAAGCAGGAGCCAGGCCTTGGGAAGCAAAGGTGCACAGTCAGACCCAGCATCACAACAGTGGGGGAGCCTCAGACTTCGTTATGGGGCCTAGTGTGATTTCAGGAACAGGTGGTTCATTCTGGAGAAGGTGGGTTTCGAAGGAAAGACAATGTGTGTCCAGAGTCCCCGCCATCCCCCGGCAGCGCTGGTGCTCACGTGTTCGAGGGGTCGGAACTGGTTCCTGTGTGGACTGTCAGCTTCAGAACTGTTTTCTTTTCTTTATGGTCTCACATCGCATGTTTTAAAACCATAGTGTTGTCCATGTTTATACAGTTAATTCCTTCTACCATTTTGTGAGGAAAGAAGAAACAATACCGTAGTCAGTAGGAGAGACTTAAGTATTGAGCCGTGGCCGTCAGAACCCACCCTCTGAGCATCACTGACAGCGTTGATTAAGCACGGGTCTGGCTCAGCACCTTGGTCCATCTTCTCCATCTCCCCAGGCGTTGGAATCTTTCTTCTTTATTTTAAGGGAAGATGAGTTTTTAGGAGAAATATAAAGATCCTTTTCCTTTCTCTGTTTTCTTTGTGTGACTGAGGAGCCTGCCTCAGAGTTGACTGGCTGGGATGTTTTCACCGAACATGGTGTACTTGTCAGCTGCCTTTTCCATCCACCTGGTTTTCTTTCCCACTTGTTTTCTAACTCAGGACTTGCAGTTAGGTCCTGTTGAGATTCTTTTGATTCACATGTTGGATAATTTTCCTGTTTCTAAAGTTAGGGGGCTTTTTTTTTTTTTAACTCATTAGGGAAGAGTAGCTGCAAGAGGCCCAGGTGCTGATGCCAAACATCCTCCCTCCCCCAAGCAAGTACAACTCGACACAAGCTGGGCTGAATCCTAAGACTTCCAGGATCTGGAGAGGAAGTTCAGGATATGCAGTTGGATCCGGGCCACAGCAAAGTGTTTGCAGGTCATTGCTTTGCTGAATGACTCCTTGATAAGGCAGCCGTCATTGTGTTTTTATGGCACCACAGAGAGAAGGGTTGGGAAAGTAGGAATTCCGTTGGATAAAATGGTAAGGGTAGAGTAACTCGAATATTTCTCCTCTGTGTGCTGTCTCGAGGACGGGCTTTGATAGGCCAGTTGTTAGAAGTTCAGCTCTCAGAAGAAACCTGTCCAAAACTACAAGTGCTTGTATATGTGACTTTGTTTTAAAATTTGAGTTGTTGGAAGACGGGGCTATCTCTTACTTATCTTTGGGTTCCATGCAGAATCTTATACATAGCAGGCATGTATACTTTTGTTAATGGAACCAAAATATTAGTATTTAAATAATTAGATTTTACTTAAATGTATGCTAATAATAAAGGCAAAGGTTTAATTTTCCAGAAGGCTTTTTGCTAGTGTGAAACTTATTTTTAAACTGCAATTTAGAGTACATCTGAAGATTTTTTTTTTTCAGCTTGAGGAAGGGAAGTTTATATTTGCTTCTTAATTATCCAGGAAGCAGATGCTCAGTGTAACATATTTAGAAAACAGAGAAAAGTGTAGAGAGGTAAATAAAAATCATTAGCAATAGCGCTTGCCAGATGAATTACTTCTAACAATTAGCATATCTTCTTTCATTCCTTTTCCTTCTTTAAGGCCTTGATTGGTTCTTACACAAAAAACACCAACTCCCCATATTTTTACCAAATTTGAATTACATTGTATAAAAATACCTTATTTCTCTCTATTTAACTTTAAATGGTCTTTCATGCCTTTAAATGTTCAGCAGCACCCCATGGTAGTTCCATAAATCATTTCACTGTTCCCCTGTGAGTTGTCGTAATGTTTTTGCTATTCTGATGGCCATCCTTGTACATATACAAATCTTTGAGTGTTTTTCTAATTCTTTTTTTTTTTTAGGATAAATTCCTAGGAGCAAATGGCTGATCCTTTAAAATTTTCAGTTGCTGAATTTCTTTTTTAAACAGTTGTGGTAACTTACATTCCCACCAGTGGTATATGAGAATACCTGTTTCACCAAATCTTGGACAACTTTGGGTGCTCAAAAAATTTAAAAACCTTTGGTAATCTGGTATCTTATTTTACTTTGCTTTACTAGTGAGGCTGAACATTTTTTATAGTGTTCTTGGCCATTCATAGTTATTTTTGTGAATTTCTGAGGCTGATTTTTTAGCTGGTTTATGTGTAGGTGTTTTCTTATTGGTTTTAAAAAACTTTAGCTATTAAGAATATTAACCCAGTATCTGCCATTAAGTTTTTTTTAGAGGAAGGAGCACTTTTAAGGATTTCTTTATTATATAATTGACAGTGCTTGAATCACAGATGAATGAAATACTGGCAGTAGCAATGTGGACTCACACCTGTGGGGAGGGTTTTGGCATTCATTTGGCTGAAATGATGCTCACTTTCTGAAAAAAGATCGTGATTCCTGTTTATTTTGTGCAGAGTTGGTTTTAACACAAATGATGATTTTCAATTTAATAATCATTTCATAAAAGTTTATGTGATGCTTCAATTCTATTTTAGTTTCTTTTGAATCTGTATTTAATTGATTGCTAAGTATACTTATTATTCATTTAAAAGCCAAATAAATTCATGAAAACATGCATAAAGTTTCCTGAAATATCCTATGATGAACCTTGTGTGTGCTGAGGCCCAGAAGGGCAGGGTGCCCTTTGGGGGTGGGGCGTCCACCTCCTGGGGAAGGTACCACAGCTGAGGGTCGCATCATCTGTACTTACTAGGCTAATGGAGGCTGATTAAACTCACAAGAGACAAAGTCTCAAATTCAGGGTGTTTATTTTTTAGTTTATAACGCGAACCACAACTGCTGGCTAGACCAGGACATTCCTTCCCTGTGGGAAGCTGAATTATATTTAGAATATCGTTTAGTAAACATGGAATCCAAGCGGGTTGTGGACTCAAATATTTAATGGTAGTGATCCGATTATCCTGGTCTCCTTCTCCCCTATAAGGACATACCTGTTCAGTGAGAAACTCCTACTCATCTTGAGGTCTCAACTTAGAATTAGTTCTTCCAAGAAGCCCTGATCCCCCAGGCGAGCCATTGTGGTGGCGTGGGTAACAAAAATGAGCCCCATATCAAGTTCCACTCTGGGTCCCCATGGGTACAACAACAAACAAGTCCGGAAACAGATCACCGTGCAAACAAACAAAAGCTTTCCTCTGTGGGAGGAGACGTTGGTTTGGCAAAAGCAAGGATGAGGTTCTTGGTGGGAAGGGAGCAAGAAGGCATGGGGGAAGGAGAGGGTGTTTTCTTCTTCCAGCACGGACACTGGTTTACCTAAGAACATGCCTCAGTGCCTTGCGTGACTGGAGAAGAGTCTTCCTGAGACGCCCAGGGCAGCGGTGAGGTCCCCTCGCCCGCTGGCCTGTGCACCAGCTCCATAGATTCTCACTCAAGGTGGTCTTTCTTCTTCAGTCATCTTCGCTCTCAGCCTGGGCATGTGCTCCCTTGAGTTACTCAGAGCCTGCGGGTTTGGAATCACAGTGTTGATGACTTCATTTTAGTTTTGACCTGGCTTGTGCCCCTCCTGTGTGCCTCTCTGGCACCTTGTGCTTCTCCATCATAGCATTTTCCCACAAGGTCCTGTAACTGTGTTTAATGACGGCACCCAGGCAGCAGCGACTGAGCGCCGTGTTTGCTCCACACCATGTATCTCTAGTGTCTACCATCGCCTCTCATACCTGGTAGGTGCTCAGTCTGTATTTGTGGAGTAAATAGATGAAGGAAGACACATCAATAAAATTTGCTCCTCTGATTCACCTTTTTCTGTCTGTCTTTTTCTCCCCCTATTTTGTTGATGTCTTTTTTCTTGTTTTCCTTTCCTGACTATAGTCTAGGTTTTGTCTGGCATGGAAGTGATACTGTCTGAGGTGATGATGCCTACCTCTGACCTCGTTCATTTGTATGTATTTCTCTAGTCATACTGAAGCCTTCTCTGGTTTCTCTTCTGGTCCATGGCAGAGGGTCTATAGACAACACCAGTAGAAGCTCAGGGTGGAGACATGCAGTGTGGGTGGATGGGTCAGCACTCACTCTGAAGGGGACCTTTCCTCTCAGAATTGTGTGTTTGACCAAGAGTTCTGTTTTTCTCTCCGCTTGACCTGTGAGAAAAGGGCAGTGAAGCCAGCTTCCCAGGTTTTCTCCTTCTAAACACAAGAGCGTGTTGAGGTACGTCTTTACCTCTCCCCCTTCTGCTTCCAGTGTGGGGATCTGAGGGCAAGATTTGGATGTCTGCCCTTTTCTGGGGCTTAGGAAGAGATCCCAAAGTCACAGGCTAACCCACACCCGAGACGATGTCTGTGAGGCCCTGGACACCAAACCAGCATTTCTTCTAAGATTATTTGAAACAGTAAAAGTTTAACTCATGAGGTCAGGGGCCCTACTGGACTGACTTAACATGTCCCCAGATACATCCGTATGTATCTGGTGTTCAGTGAATCCTTACCGAGAACAGTGGACGAGTGAGTGAGTACGTCAACCCGTGTGGATGAGCAGGGATGGCCACTGTACACTCAGTGCCATGCCACCCACAGAATCATTTTAATCTCTGGGAACCACTGATAAGAAATTCTTTTCAATCAAGATATTATAATAAATTTTAAAAAATATTAAAAAGGCAAAACCAACAACCACAAAAAAATCTCATTTAGAGATAACAAATTATTACCATTTTGATATAATTCCTCATAGATTCCTAGTCTTGGTCTCAGTTTCCATTTCTGCTCTCTTTTTCCTTAGGTGATCTTGGAACTTACTGCATGTACTGCTTTCTCACTGTCACCTCAGTGGGTTATTCAGGCTCCAAAACTTCTTAAAATCTTTTTGCTTGTGTGGATCTCTTTATGCTCTTCCTGGTTTAGTTTGTCATTTAACTGGAAAGAAAACAGTGGTTGGTGTCCTTGTAAAGTGAAGGTAGTTACTTGTGAAGTGTTGCTTGGGCTGTCCCTGGGAGGATCCCTCTCTAACTTCCCAGCTGTGCCTCTCGGCTCCCAGCGTTTAAGTCAGGTCAGGGGTGGGCGAGAGTCATACTTGTCAGGCAATACTTATTTGTTCCAGCAGTTTCTGAGCTAAGACTTGACTTTGCTAAGCTGAAGTTACAGATAAAGTGAATTTCCCAATGAAAAATGTAGAAGCCAGGACTTTCAGCTTCCCAGTTCACTTCAGAGGGTTTTTTTTTTTCTGTGACTACATGTCATTTATAAATTCTTCAAGAAAAGATCATCATTCGTTTTTAGGTAACTTGTTTGTTACTCACTGCACTGCTTTTGTCATTGGAGTAAGGCGTAACTATAGTGTCTGACGGAATCATGCTCTATCTCCACAGCAGTTAATGACTGGAGATAGGAAACAGTAATTTCTCCATGTGGCGTGAGTCCAGTGGCTTAAGATCCACAGATTGCTATGTGATTTTTACTTATTTCAGAATTCTAGGCCCACAATAATAGTGCAGTTCTGGCAATTTTATTATTTTCAAATGGAGCTCTGATAATTAGAGGCTTAAAGTCTAAAGACTTAAAGATGACCTCACTAATTAATAATAACCAATGTTAAAATGCCCAGGGAATGTCATTTTTAACTCCCAGCCAGTATTTGAGTGGTATTTTTCTGTTGCTTGTCATAGATGAGAAGTACTGTCGATGAATTTGTTTCAAGTCATTAGTTCAAATATTTTGTTGGGGTTTTTAGTATTTAAACTTCTTGGAAATTTTTTCTTTATTGGGTTGGGGATTTTGCCTTTTTTTTTTTTTTTTGCTTTTGAAACACTGAATTATATTTTAAAAAAGAATATAAATGAAGGCTACTACCCACAAATTAAAATGGGCCTCTAGGGAAACAGGGATAGAAGAAAAAGCTGTGCAATGTTTAATCTATTAATAACAGAAAGACTATCTTCCTTTGGTTACGATGAATCTCCATGAATCTAGGTTTGGGTCAAAGGGTCACCATAGTTTCTGTATATAACTTTTTTCCCCCTCCTGGTGATGTTCCAAAGAGGAGGAAACTGGATAGTCTGTCTTTACTGTCCTAAAGAATGATATCTTTTATGTCTGTTTCCTTTGTAATAAATTTTGTTTTTTAAATGTAGGATTGAAGAAATTGTGGTTTTGACCCTGCATGCTTGTTAAAGGCCTAGGACAGTGCTTTATCAAGTCTGTTGGTTTCCCAGGAGATTTAAGGACATGGTCTGGTGTGAGGGAGAAAGGACTGGTCCAGGAGTCAGAATACCTGGGTTCTGGGCCACCTGCAGGGTTTCAGGCAAATGATGTAAACTCTCTGAGTCTCTTTTCCTCGTCTGCAAAATGGGCCTGACACTGTCCCCTCTCCCACGTCGCATTGCTGGGTGAGGACAGATAAGGCAGTGGTTCCCTTAGCATTTGGGGATCTTATTAAAATGCGGATTCTCAGTCAGTAGTAGGTCCAGGTGGAGCCTGTAAACTTTGAGAAGCCAGTTTTCCTCTGAAGCATTCTCTTGCCAGGTCGAATATTAGGATCCCGAGGAGAGAAGCCCCACCTCAGCACAGAGCAGCCTAACATTAGTGCACCATCCCTCAGGCCCTGGGGCAGGGGGACGAGGGGGCAGGGCCCACAGCAGCCGGAGCCCCTTGAGTCACCCTGCTGTGTCAGACGCATCCGCATCTTCAGTGTGTGCCCTGAGGTGGGCACGTTTGGGGAGCACCGCACAGTCCTCACACATGCCTCCCCAGCTTTGTGAGGTGTGGGCACCAAAGTGGGAAAGAAGGGAAGGGGGCAGGCGGGAGGTGGGAGGCGGCAAGCTGTTAGGTCTGAGACTGTAGAGGGTTCCATGAGCAGAAGTGTGTCCTGTCCTGGACCCAACACCCCAGTCCAGTCATTCAGCTGCCACCGAGGGCCTGTGTACACCCCATAGGTCCTCCTGCGGTGGGCACACGGGGTCACCCCCTCCTCTCTCAGCCTCTCCTCCTGAATGTATAGTTGTGCCACTGTGGTTAGGGCTAGAAAACTCAAATGTCAGGCATTTTTGTTTGTCTGATTTTAAATTATTTTAACTTTAGACATGGCTCTTTTCTAGTTTCAGAAAATCTTTTTTAAAAAATATACTTCCTGAAATGTCACAAGAATTGATATATAGATACATTTACCCAAAAACCCCTATTTATTATGCTTGTTGTTCATCCTCTGTCTTTCCCCAGTTGAATGTGACTCACGAGAAGTTTTTGTTTTGCTCATTGACATATCCCAAGCTGGGTGCACAGTAGGAGCTCAGTGAATAAGTGCTGAATATTGAATGATTTGATTACAGCTGATTTCTCCTCACCCTCTAGACGTTTATTCTTTTCAAGAAGAGGAACCTGTTTTGGACCCCCATTTGGCCAAGCACCTGGCGCATTTTGGAATTGACATGCTTCACATGCACGGGGTGAGAATGCCTGCACTTTCTTCTGTTTCCACCTCGTGGGGACGGAGCTGTCTTTTTTAATATGTAACTTCTCCAATATGAATCTTCATTTCTGAGGTTTTAGGTTTTAATGGTTGCATTTACTTGTTGAATGTAATTAATTGGCATTTTCCTTGGGTTACCAGCTTGGACCTTTTTATGGTATAATAAAAATGGCACCTTGTTGAGGTTTGTTTAGTTGGAGTTTACTTGCAAAATCTCCATTGATGGAGAGGTGCATGAGTCACCCTTTGTTCACTAAAGGGAGAAGGTACGGGAGATGACCTTTAGAATGACCTGCGACCAACATCACTTTAATTAATTTCAGGAAGGGAAGCAGAGCTCCCAGGGGGTAGAAAGAATAAGCCAACACATTATTATTGATGGAAGAGCTTTGCTTCATTTACTGTTGTGTTTTCGAGATGCTCTCATGGTTCTGTGGCATCTGTCCCCGCAAGGAGCTACTTCAGTGTGCGTGTTTTGGGCTCGCCCAGCCCGGGCCACCCCCCTCTCCTCACGTTCTCCTGTCTCCTCTTTCTCACTCATGTCACTTGTTCATTTTTTTTCTCTGCTCCTCCGTCAGCCTTCCTCCTGTTTTGAGGCCCTCCCACGCCCCACAGTTCTATCGTCCTACTTCTCCAGCTTGCCTTTTTGTTTGCCGTGTTGTGTTTTATCCTCTCTTGAAATCCTTCCACTTGCTTCTTTCTTTCGATTCTTATTTTTCTTTTTTCCTCCTCCTATCTCCTTTCTTTTCAGTCTTTCTTTTAAATGTGGCTTTTTTAAATTGTGGAAATACATAACATAAATTCTACCACTTTAACCATTTCTAAGCGTAGAGTATACAGTTCTATGGCATAAGTACATTTACATTCTGCAACCATCCACCACTTCAGTCTCCTTTAATTAGGTTGTTCATTTTTCTGTTTGATTGTGGAAAAAAGGGCAGAAACATCTGTTGCTGTTAGAAATAATTCTAACAGTTAAGTGATGATCTCACCGAAAGTGCTGCAAACGATGATCACAGCTAAAGTTGTTTTCCTTCGACGACTTTGCCCCAGACAGAGAACGGGCTCCGGGACAATGACTTCAAGCCGCGGGTCAGTGAGTGGGAAGTGATCCAGGAGACAGGGACGAAGCTGAAGCCCATGTACGGCCCTGGGTACACGGGCCTCAAGAACCTGGGCAACAGCTGCTACCTCAGCTCCGTCATGCAGGCCATCTTCAGCATCCCGGAATTCCAGAGAGCGTGAGTGTCCCCTGCTGACAGGGCGCACAGTGCCACCCACGTCCCGTAGTGTGTGCTGGGGAAGCCCACCTTCACGGGCTGTAGGGTGTTTCACCACCTCACCCGTGGTGGTGGGCTTCCTACCCTGATGCAGGGTGAGGACCCTTGTCAAGTGTTCAGGGAATCAGGTGAGATAGGGAGAACTGTGTGAACTGGAAAACCTCCTACAGGGATTTGTTGTACTAATAATTAGGCTTTCATTATTAGACCATCACCCTCTGTGCCAAGAAAATGTTAATCATTAATCCTCACAGTAAGCCTGCCTAGTCCCTTCCTACAGATGTGCTAGGAGAGATTCAGTGATCCGTTTGGAGGATTTAGGCTTTTTGGGTTTTTTTTTTGGCCACTCAAAATGTGATTCACAGACTGGTGCTTGTCCTCACACTGCTGGGTGTGGCTCTGCAGTGAGACAAGAATGAAACTGAGAGTGAGCATGTAGCCATTTTTATAGCAATTAGACACGGCCATGTTTTATAAATAGCATTTTATTTTTCTAACAATTTGTTTTTATCGTATTTTTTAAATGTGCCATCTACGTGAGCTGAAATAATAATAAAGCCGGTCCTTCACTGAAGATAATGTGGGAGGTACTGACGCAGGGCACTTCCTCCCGGTGCAGGTGCAGGTGCAGGTGCAGGTGCAGGCTGCTGTCCTCCTTCCACTTGGAGGGGCAGAGCCGCTGTCCGTGGCCACGTTCTAACTTAGCCGTGCTGGGGACAGGGGCCGTGAGAAGGGGCCTGCGCGGGGCTGTCCTGGGCAGCCACTGCCCAGGTTTGGAACACAGTCTCCGGTGTTCTGCAGAGTGGGCGGGTTTCCCCCTAGGTTCCCGAACGGGAGCGAACACACGTGTGCTGAGACAGATGGGCGGGCGGCACACTCGCCATCACACAGGGCAGTTTTTTATCCAGCGGAGTGGGAGTGCTGGTGACTTCAGTAGTGGTTAATGCAAAAGTACAGCAGATATCCTTTTCTTTCCTTTCTTGGTATTTGAAGACTTACCTCTTACCGTTTTTTGGCTTTAGAAATTTATGGCCAGTTTTGCATGCCTGGTTTTCATTTTTTTTCATCCAGTCAGTAAAGAGTGAGTTCTGCTCTGCTCAGCAGTGTGCCGGGTGTGGGGAGTTCAGTGATAAACAAGGAGACACGGTTCCTGACCCCACTTGGGGAAACAGACATTAAATAAATAGCCCTAAGAACAGCTGCAGGGTTACAGACACGATAAGTTCCATGAAGGAGAAGGCAAGGAGGTGGTCAGGAGGATCTCTTTGAAGAAAGGACACACCAAGGGGCATAGACTTGAATGGATGTGTAGGGGCAGTGGGGACAGGGTGCTGGACAGAAGGAGGGGCAGATCTGAAACTGAGATGGGAAAACTTTTTCGAAGGTCTGCATTGTGCAAATATTTGAGATACTGAAATATTACTCAAATCTCATATTTGTATTACCATTTCATTGGGCAACAGTGTAGCATCATCTTAAATGTCTCATGTTCCAAGAATTTTTTAAAACATTGAAGGAATGTCCTTATAGTAGGTGTTATATAATTATTATTTTTGCTAAACTAGAGAGGAGAAACTTGTGTTCTTTTGTTACAAAGCCCGACAGCACTTTTAGTGATTTACAACCCATAGTTTTTTTTTTATTTTTTAAAAATTTAATCTTTATTTTTTCAGTACCATTTAGTCCCCTTATAACACAACCTGTAGTTTTTGAAAATTCTTTCCACACTCCAGAGTTTGATGACCATTACCTTTCTGAATTTTTTCTTCAATAAGAAATGTACTTTATACCTGTGATTCAGATCTCTCACCTCAGTCTTGTTTCACGGGTTTTAGAATTTTATATCATCTAATATTTTATATTCTGGGTTCTGAACATTTACTGTAGATATCAGAACACAAGCAACTTATTATTCATACTCTCTCTTTCTTTTTTTATTTTTCCACCAAATATCACTGGACTGAAATACTTTCTCTTCACACACATTTTCCCCCAGCAAGACTGACTCAGTGGAGTCAGGCCCAGGAGCAGGGCCTCCGTTTGTAAGTTTGTAAGTAGAGGGAGTGAGTCACAGAGGATTACAGGACCTGTGTGCACGCGATCACAGTGTAATTTGAGAATGGCAGCCTGACTCTTGGATACCCCGTCTGGCGTTTGGACCCCGTTTACATCTCAAAATAATTCTGACGAGGATCCAATCTAAATAAGCTGGTGTGCAAATTGAATGACAACTAATATGGATTCTCACATAACAAAACTCTGGTTTTTTCTTTGACAACCACTAGATTACAAACTGAAGATATTATGTGTGTTTAAAAAATTACCTAGTGTTCCTTCAGTATTTTAAGTTAATTTTGTTATAACGGATGATATTCCTCATTGATTAGAAAAGGAATATAAATTACTAGCAAAGTGGATTTTTTGACATCAAAATTTACTGTTTAACTTTATTCCTCTCCACCAGTCTTGCCTGAAAACATAATCCTTTTCACAAACGTTCATCTTCCCAGCCAATTTGTTCTGTCTTGTCAAGTTTCGAGGTATGAAAAGATTAGGTCGTATTGAGTTAATCATTGTATATCACTAGGAATTCGTCAGTGTGGCCTCTGGCTCTGAATAGTTCAGTTCCAAAGTTTGGTTTATCTGTCAGTTGGCTCTTGGTCTGTTGAAAAATTTCTGGTTGGAATTGTGGCCCTAGGGACACACCCAAAAGCTGTTTCCGTGGACTGTCCCCGAGAAGCGTGCTCTGTTCATTTTGGTGTAGGTACATAATTTGGGACACAAATTCTGAGTCTGTAGATAGATATCAAGTGTCACTAGTTGAGGTTTCTAGTAGTTGAGGGATCCAGTTAGAGGTCGTTGCTAACTAGTAGGTGTCATGGTTCTCTGCTGAGGCTTTGTTGCAGCAGTGATTTTTCTGTAGGGCTGTGGGTAGTCAGTTATGGAAATGGTTTATGTGGTTACACGTTTTGAATGTATTCATTCAAGCATATATTTATTGAGTGTCTTTTACTTGTCAGATGCAGTTCTAGTGCTAGAGAGGCAATGATGTAGGTAGAGTCTCTGCCTTCATGGAGATTATTCTAGTATGTAATTTCTAGCGAGACAGATAATAAACAAGAACATAAGAAAATTATATAATTGCAAATAGTGATGCATGCCAAGAAGCAAGGAAGCCAGAGTCAGGTGATAAGGAGTTAGGAAGGGTGGGAGGTGACTTTTAATCAGGCCGGAGAAGGATCTGTGGAGGGGGTGTTCCAGGGAAGAGACAGCAGATGGCCTGACCCTGGAGCAGGAGTGAGCTTGGCATGCCCTTGGGGCAGCAGGAAGGGCAGGTGGCCGAGGCTTTGTGGGCTGGGGAGAGGGGTGGGAGTGAGGTCAGAGACGTGTGCAGAGCAGGGTGCGTGTAGGGTCAGGGAAAGGGATCTGCTTCTGGATTCTTTCAGGCTCAGAGTCAGAGTCTGAAGAGGGAAAGGTGGACAACACAAAGCAGAGGGTGTGAAATAGGCAATGAATTTAGGACGTGAAAGGAATGATTGCACGGTGAGGTCAGAGATGGGTGGTTAGTGTTAGCACTGCTGCAGGATGGACTGGGCGGAGGGCTGTGGACTGCCCAAGGGCCCGAGGACGGGCAGGGGCCGCAGGATGGTTCAGAGCACAGATTTGTAGGCAGGCTGCCTGGGTCCACTCGGGGCTTCATCACTCCCTCCCTGGGTGGCTTTTACAAGCTACTTAATGACTTTGCACCCCGATTACTTGTATCTCTCAAATGGAGCAATGATACTAATCACTTCCTCATGCGGTTGTAATGAAGACTCAACCAGGTAACATAGGAAACCCTGGGGAAACAAGAGTTGTCCCTGCTGTTATCCTCATTATTCATTTGGACGCGATTGGAACAATTCCCAACCTTATCATTTGTTTTTGAGATGGCAGTTGCTATGGCCTGAGCCACTGGCCCTTGACTCTGGCTGCATGTTGGAATCACCTGGGAAACTTGTGGAAGAGTCCAAACCCCGGGCCTCCGTCTCAGGCAGTGAAATCAGAACATGGGAGCGGGTGGGGAAGTTAGTGGCTCTGGCTTTTGTATTTTTTTCAAGAAACTCTTTAGGGGATTCTAACTCACAGGCAGGGGTGAGATCCACTGATAGAAACACCAGCATTTTAGGGAGGGGGTCCCTGAACATGGCTGTGGAGGTGGGAGCTCAGGAAAAACGTTCCTTTGGGGGGTGATTTAACATGCACTGAAGGGTAAGGAAGTCTTAACTAGGACGATGTCCTGTTTTGGTTCTGTTCTCTCAGTTTCTGTGTTTTGACCATCACTTCCCATTTTCTAGGTACGTAGGGAATCTCCCAAGAATATTTGACTACTCTCCTTTAGATCCAACACAGGATTTCAACACACAGATGTAAGTGCCCAATTTCGTTTTTAAGAAACGTCTCCAGTAAAAGTATCCCTAGTGCTTCTTTCTGGGTTGCAGAATTAAAGTTAGTTCTCTTTATTTTATGTATGTTTAAAAGTGTTTTAAAATGAACATATGTTACTTAAAAATTTTTTTTTACTTTAGAGAGAGAGGAAGTTGGCAGGGAAGGAGAGAGAGAAATCAATTTGTTGGCCCATTTATTTATGGTTTCATTGATTGAGTCTTGCATGTGCCCTGACTGGGGATTGAACCTGCAACTCTGGGGTAAGGGGGCTGGCGCTCTAACCACTGAACTACCCTCCCAGGGCTCATGTGTTACTTTTATGAGAATAAAGAAATTAATAAAATGATCTGTAAAGTACTGAGGAAAATTTGAAAATGGAATCAGTATCAAGTAGAATCAACTAAATAGTTTGTGAGTAATTGAGACAAAGCAGCTCGCCTGAAAGTAGCCACACTTAATGAAATTCACAGATAATTTTAATACTTCTAAGGGGAACAACAATGACCTTTTTGTTTTTGTGTCTCCTTCCTGCCCAGGACTAAGCTAGGACATGGCCTTCTCTCAGGCCAGTATTCGAAACCTCCCATGAAATCCGAACTCATCGAACAGGTGATGAAAGAGGAACAGAAGGTATGTGTCTGGGTGGCTGGCGTTCGGTATGTAGGGCGGAGGGATTTCACCAGCTAGAATGTGGGTTTCCTGTGATTTGGCAGATGGCGGCTGTAAATTTAACGCGCCGCCAGGACAGCTGTTTCACGTCAGAGCGGAGGGCGTCTGTCTGCGTGTTCTCACAAAGGGTCGGCCAGGGTGGGGTTTCTGGTGACAGTTGCTGTGCGGATTTTACGTGATTGCCAGCATTAAGGGTCTTCAGAAACAAAATTCTCTGTGAGGTAGAGCTGAGATGGAAGGAGGAAACTTCATAAAATACAAACATTTCCCCTTGGTAATGCAGTCTTGGCCCTCACAGTGCCTTTCTTCCCCTAAGCCTCAGCTTTGTTTGCTAGGGTTTCTCAAGAGGCTGGTTGTTAGAAAATAACACACACTTTCCAAGTGGCCCCCCCACCCCCGAGTGGAGGGTGCTGAATTTCTGGAGAGGGCTGGGCAGTCCTCATTTTTGGTAAGCTGCCAGGGGGTTTGTAAGTGCACTCAAGTCAGAAAACCCAGTTGGCCATTTAGTCATTATTAATCGATAGAGTGATTGAAAGATGTGCCTCATCCAATAGGCAGACTTGCATTTCCACACACCTGCAGGATGGGCTGCGGACGCCTCTCTGGGCTGCTCTGTTACACACCTCCAGAGGGCGCTCCTCGCAACCTGGTCTGTCCGAGCGGTGCCCTTGGAATTCCGCACTGCACAGCTCACGCGGCCATATCTGGCGGCCTGGCCCCCATCGCTGCAGATGTCCCGGGCGGAATGCGTGCCCCACTTCCCCCACACCTGCTCTGCCTGCAGAGTGCCCTGTTTTGACTTAGTGGGCGAATTCTTCCACTTCTGTTTCTCGAGTGTTTGACCTCTGTGCTCTCGTCTTACATCAGTCATCCTTAGCTAATGCCTGCGGACTGCAAGTAAGACTCGAAAGTGAATAAACTCTTCTTTGTAATGAAGCCAGTTAGTAGGAGAAATGGAGCAAGTGGGAGAAGGGAGGTTATGAACGTACAGAGGCCGTGTTTGGGGGCAGGGAGAAGGAAGTTGGTCGTGAGGAGGGTAGAGAGGGGTGTGGACATTCTGAGTGGCCAGGCCAGGACATCCAAGTGTTGTGGGGGCAGGAAGACACGTTCTCTGGTTAGTTGCATTGTTATCCAGCCTTGCAAGGTAATGAGTTTCTCATCCAGCCAAGACCCTCACCTGGGACGTAGTTGAGCAGGTGGTTTTAGTGTAGGGCTGGGGCTTCTTCAGCTTATCCATGCTTCTTCTACCTCTGAGCCCTTGTGAAACTCTGAAGAGGTAGTGGTGAAGAAAACTTGGTTCAAAATTTTGTTTTTGATCACACCTATCCTGGGTTTTTATCCGGGCAGGTACTTCTTGGACCACTCCCAGGGGCAGAGTCCCCCCTCCCTGGGAGGAGGAGATTGGCTGGGACTTGGGAGCCTGGCCCCCTCTGCTGGCCTGCAAGGGGCTGTGGGACCCTGGCAAGCCACGTGAGCTGTGGGTCTCAGCAGTCAGATGGCAGAAATGGTCTCTGGGTGGTGGTCGTGAGTATTGCAAGTGGGAGGGTTCCCTCTCTAGTACAAATAAAGTCTGTGAACATACATGACTGCTGTTAGGCTTTCGGACTCTCTTCATTTGAGAAAACATGAAATGAAAATTCATCAATGTAGCAATGCTTGGGAGTAAAATTCATTTTTGTTAATATCACAGAGTCCTTTTACACGAGGAGAAAAAGTAGTTCTATGAATAAGCTACCTTATTAACGCAGTCTGCCAACAGTGGTTGGGGCCCTTGCCCCCTCCCTGCCATTGGATTTCACTGCTGTTGTGCAGGAGCTCTGGCTCTCTGGGGATCTGAGGGTTGCAGGTGGAGACCCCTGCTCTGTCTGGCTCAAGGGGTGCCATCTGGCAGCATCTAGGCCATTTATGTCCTGCAGGTGTGTACTGCTTGGCTCATGCACAAATGTCTGAATTTCCAGTTTCTCTTGAACATGCAGAACCTCTGGCAGCTCCAGGCCTGGCAGCAATTGGCTGGAGCTGGGCAGCAGTCCTCTTCACACCGCCCCCAGCTGGCTGCCGTCCTTCGGTGATTCATGGCCTGGCTGATAGGCTGTGCATTTGGGTGTGTAACCCTTGATCTAGATGATTTGTAAAAGTCGTTCTTGGCTCTGAGGCACCACAGTCAATAGGGTCCCTTGATCGTTCAAAATGAGCTTGAATTGATCATTCTGTGTGGTCCCGAAGGTGTTAGTTTCAACCTTAAATAGGCAAGTAATACGTAGTAAAATCTCTGCTTCCCTTCACAGTGGAGGGGTTTACTTTCTGGGGCAGCAGAAGTTTCCCTGGCAATTGGTTACAGAGAAGCCAAATTGTGAGAATCTTTCCTCTCTCAGGTATCAGGGGCCCTTTGGTCTTGTCCCAGGCCTCTGATGTTCGTGACTTGTAGATGAGCCTGATATGCCCCAAGAGAGGAAAGAAGATGTGCTGAAGCAGGCAAGAGGATGGATCACAAGAGGAACGTGTGGTGGAGGGGAGAGAGCAGAGATGGGTCAGAGCCTTGTGGTGGGCATGCCTTTTTGCAGGCACGCACCACTACTGCTGCGAATACTGACATTGCCCAATTCTGACAAAAGGCCAGGCTCTCCTGTGTGTTCTCCTGTGAGGCTCAGAAACCTTGCCTCACGTTCTGAAGCCAGTGACGGGGAGGGCTGGGCTTTCCACCCAGTCTGGTCCTGGGTCTCTGCATTTGACTGTGACACCATTCTGCTTCCCTCGAAGTTGTCCCAACACTTGTTTCCGTCTCCAGTGCCTCTGTGTGTGGCTGCATGACAGAAGGGGGTACTTAGCATTTGGAGAAAGACCAGGTAGACCAGTAACCTCTCACCTCTGGGATTCTCACCTCTGTCTGACATTTTGGATCATTTCCTGAATATATTCCTGGTATTAAAATGGTCTGCTGCAGACCAAGGTGAAATCTAGTTTTTACATATGCATACCTGATAGACTTTTTCATCTGTAAAAGGATTTTGGGGGAGGCACTGCCATTTCTACATACATTTTCGAATTGATTTTTAAAAAATTAACTTGTGTTTGTGGTAGATAAAACTTCACTATAAAAGAATACAGTTTCTTCTTCAAAAAGTATATTCCTGGTTTTTATGCATTCTAAGACAGTGCTTCCACAGATGTTGATACTGAGTGCTCTATAATTTGTCTTTCCTTCTGAAGATAACATGTTTGAAAAAGTTCTGTATTCTGAACAAACTGTTTTTTAAGTAGGAATTCATTTGATGTCCTATCTAAATAATCCTTAATACATAGTTGGTAGACTCAGTTTTTGATAAAAATGTTCTACTTGGAGGTGCTGTAATGTTCGCCCCAAACTAAGACCTTGGTTTTCACCCACCTCCATTTTCTTGGGTTAGGCAGTTGTGACATTTTTAACTCACCTTCTGAAACATGAAAAATAGCTTGGGGAGTGCCCTGTGTTCCTTTAGCTTAGGCAGTTTGGGATTTGGATCTGGGTTAGGAACTGCCGGTCCAGGGTTTACGATGAAAAGTTTGAATCAGTGGATGACAAGACACTTGTGTACTGGGAACAGGCTGAGATGGGTCTGTTTCCATTCCTGTGGTGTTACAATGTATATATCCTGCTAAGATGGATTTATTTCCATTCCTGTAGCCTTACAATGTGCGTATCTGTACAAGAGTTGCTCTAATGTGATACAAACCTCAGTTGTGCTGCTTGTTTATTAATTAAAGCATTAGGCTCAGGGGACCATGAATGGACGGTGTCTGGCTGCCTTCTTGGTTCAGCGGCCAACAGAAAGCCCATGCAAGCCTGGGGGAAAGATTCTGAACGCCCTAGTCCTCTCCCTAATGTTAGCTCATCTGTTTTGCAGTTGCCAGTGGAGAAAGTAAGTACAGTGTCCTATAAATACCACCGGTTCCCGAGGCGGCTGCTGTTTTGGAGGCTGTCTGGGGCTCTGTCTCACAGAGTCACTTGTCAGGACGAGCCATTGCTTCAGGTGTCTGAAGGCTGGCTCACCGTGGGGTGTGAGCTTTCTGAAGGCGGGTCTGACTCTTGGTCATTTCCGGTCTCTCCCTCTCGTCTTGTGCAGTGATAGGTCCATAGGGGGACGCTCGGGCGATGTCAGCAACCCACTGCCAACCAGGAAACCTGGTTTCTTTGACTTAGTTCTTTGGTTCTTATTTGGGCTTTCGGTTTCTTGTAAGTAAGAAACTGCCTTATCCAGAGCCTGGCCCCCCCCTTTAAAAAAAAAGTTATTTAAATTTGCAAATGTACACAGAAGTAGAGAGCAAAGTGTGCTGTGTCTCCGTGTGCCACTAGGTCACTGCAGCCATCACCAGTCTGCCGGCCTGGTTTTCTCTGGCCCCCAAACTGAACTCCTTCCACTCCTTCCTCTCCTTTCCCCGAAGAATTTTCATCCAAAGTCCAAGCATCGTTCTTTTCACCTGTAAACACTCAGCATGCATCTATAACTAGAATACTTTCAATTTGAAGTGTTAGAAGCACAACAACAAAAGGAGCACCTGTCCCTCAGTGAATCTAATGCCCAGTCCACATCTCGATTTGTCTCTGCAGAGTCAAGCACATCTTTTTCAAGTCTCCTCTTTTTCTTTTTTGCATGGTGTTGATTTGTTTTAGGAGCTGGATCCTTTGCCCAGGATTCCTCTAACGACTGCTTCCTCAGGCTGTTGATTAGCTTGTTTTTCTTATAAGCTGGAAGTTAGATCTGGAAGCTTAATTAGATGCAGGCTCAACTTTTTTATTTACTCTCTGACATATAAGCTATGAAGTGAACACAGTAATAGATGAGCATGGGAATTTGTGAGACCTCCCTTCTGAAATCAGAGGTAGCACTGGGTGGGGCGTGGGTGCAGGTGGACAGGGCTGGCTAACGATCAGGCCTTGGGTGCAGAGTGGCTGACCGTGAGCTGCAAAGCTTAAACCCGACTGTGAGGGCCAGCAGCTGGTCTGCAGCATGGAGTGCAGAGGGACAGGTGCCATCTCCCTGGTGAGGAAGCTTTTCCAAATAACTTCTCAGGGACCAGCAATTCTCAAGCTGTAGCTGAACCGTTGAACAAAGGATTAAGAAAGGTCTGTTGAAGGAAAGGAAATGGGCACAGAAAGAGAAGAGGCATGGAAGGGGAATGAATGAGGCTGGGCACAGTTCATGCTGAGTGTGTGGGGTTCCATGGGCTTTCCCCCAGGGTCTCTGTTGAAACGTCTCCTCCCAGTTGTGTGACCACAAGGTGGCACAGAGCAGCAGGCAGCCTTTCTGAATTTAGTGACCTGTTGAACTTTCCAAAGCAGCTGCTCCGGTGCAGACTGGCAGGCCACACCGAGCTGGAAGCATGGCCTGTAAGAAGCGAGAAAGGACACCATCCGGAAAAGTCAGTGAGTGTGTGCTCATGTGAATGCCAACACAGGAACACGCAATGCAAAAGCATTTATTCCAAGTGGAGCCTCCACGCTGCCCATAGAGGGGAATGCTTGCTGGCCTGGCCTATGGTGTTGGTCCCAGCGGTGCCCAGCGGCAGGTTTGAAGAGGGATTACCCAGAATCCAGGGCATACGGTGTTGGTAAGATGGACTCAGGGTCATCAGAGATGAGAACTCATCACTTATGTGCAAGAAGCAGTATTAGGACCCGAGAAAGAGAGAGAGATAGACAAAAGATAGAGACAGAAAGACTGACCTTTCTAGCTCTGATCCTGGGCCAGTTTTCTCATCTGTGAAGTGGAGTAAATAATAATAATATTAATCACCTCATGAGGTTGTGGGAGATAAGCAAGATATACATACAAAGTGCTCAGAACTATGCCTGGACCTGGTAAATATTCACTCAAGTACCTAGAATAGTGTCTGACATTTTATAGCACTCAGTAAATTTCCGTTGAGTGAATGAATGTCAGCCAGTATGCACAAAGATAAGGATTATTTTTGCACGCTGGTGTTGGCTGATACTGTGGAGAGATGCATCAGCATTGGGAGTGAAAAAACAACTTTCACATAGTTTTCAGAAGCTGCATATACAGGTAGTAAGAAGAGTTACTGGGTTTACTGTATTTTGCCGTATATGATGCATATCAATGTTTTTGGCCCAAACTTTCAGGAAAAAAAAATCTTGTGTTTTGATTTTTTAATCCAATTATTTATTTACTTATATTTAGATACTTGTTTTTTTGTATTATAAAGGAATTTTAGCATTTATTTTTGGACATATTATGGTACAAGAAATTTTATATAACACATAATTACAAAACACAAGAACAGATACAAAGTATTTCAGGCACTACCCATGTATAATGCACATCCTTATTTTTTCCTCAACAGTTTGGGCAAAAGAGTGTGCATTATACATGGCAAAATATGGTAAATTGATCTTCACATATCACTGGAAGCACATCGAAGCCATGTGTGCATAAGCCGGTCACTCCTGTCCAGGTCCCACGTCCTCAGAATTCTCTGTAGGTCCCCTGCAGTGTTCTCTCCCGTTTGTTACAGATCGTGTGTGTCTGTCAGCTCTCCGAGGGCCCAGTCCCCAGGAGTGCTCTGCAGGAAGTAGGTGGTAAGGAGATGCGGGATGACTAGATCAGGTACATTATCAGTGAGACAGGAAATTCACCTGCGCTTTATTAGAAACAGTGTTTAGGGCTGGGAACCAAAGTGTCCCAGGTTCAATTCCCAGCCAGGGTACATTCCTGGGTTGCAGGCCATAATCCCCAGCAACCGCACATTGATGTTTCTGTTTTTCTCTCTCTCTCTCCCTCCCCTCCCTCTCTAAAAAAATAAATAAAATCTTAAAAAAATATTAAAAAAAAAGAAACAGTGTTTAGTATGTGCATGTTGGAGAGGTTTTATATGTAGAGCAGCCCCTTGGCTGATGGCTATGGGAGTTTTCCCATCACCTGCTGCATCTGACTGTGTGATTTGGTGCATGCCTATTGTGGTGTCCCATCTCTAGGCATTGACTGGGATGCCTGGGAGATCTTGAAGTGTGAGATGTGGCCTCCGTCAACCAGACCGCAGTCAGGCTGAGGAGACGGGCCAGGGCAGGCTGAAAGTGAGAGGAGGTCGAGGCACTTGCTGGCCCACAGAGCAGGTTCTCTGGACGTCAGAGGAAGGGACAAGGCCTGGAAGCTGAGCTTGTGGTGGTTTGAGACGTGGGTAGACAGTAACCACACATATGCAGAGAGCTCATGAATTTCTTCTTTAGCTTGACTAGCCAGGTGAGGTTTGTGTCACCAAGACCTACTGTGTGCTATGGCCACCGCTCCATTTTTGCTACAGAGAGCCAGGACCTGCATCAGAACTGGGTGTTCGTTCTGGTTCTGCGCTTTGCGAGCTGTGTGATAATCTGGTTGTAAGCCCACTTTCAGTGGAGAGACCTATCTGGCGCTTCTCCACAGTCTCAGTTTCCCTAGCTGTACAATGGGGGCAACACTTGTACCTTCTTCGTAGGGTTCTTGTATTAGGTGCCCCATTATTAGATGGGGTGAACTGGGAGGGGATGCAGGAAACGGCGTTGTCATGAGACCACCTCTGTCGTCAAGGTGATATGGACTCTAGCCACTCATTGCCTAGATTTCCTTCACATTACCAGCATTAGAAAGTCCAATTCACATCCAAGTCAGTCTACAGCGTCTCCCCCCACCAAGCTCAGGAGTCTCAGAAACCAGCGGTGCAGCAGGGTCAAGGTCAGCGTCCTCTGGCATTTTTTTCCTTGCCCCACCTTTGTGCTTCCTGCCATTGCCTCAGGCCCCTCCAGAGTCAAGTTGGGGCACGTTGGTAGTTCTTTAGAGAGGACCCCCGCTTGTCCCCTGAGGGACCCCCATGAGGACCTTTCCTGGTGCCCTGTCCCGCTGGCCCTGTTATCCCCCACTCTGGCTCCTGCCCCGAGACTCCTCGGCCAGCTGACCTCCCATCAGGTTACGCAGCGTCCCTTCTGGAGGAGCCTGGCTGCCTTCTGTGCTATCCTTTAGCCTCTGGGGAAGTTTGCACGTTCTTGTCCTGCCGGACTTCCCGCTCTGCCGTCCTGGCAGCTGCAGCCAGCCTTTTCCTGCCTCTCCCTGTGAAGGGCACGCTCCTGGCCACTCCCTGTGCTTTGGAGCCTGGAGCCGCTCTGCAGAAGTTATCGGGCATGCAGTGCCGTTTCCCATCTCTGCCAGGGGTTCTCTCCTGTTCCTGCCTAAGGCATTCCTGGCCTGCTCTGCGGTGGGCTGTAATGGGCGGTTTGGCCACCGGGTAGCAAGTCCTGTGAGGCTGCAGGGCCCGAGTGCCTGTCTTAGAAAGTGTGATATTGATCATGTCTTTAGTTTTGACTTAACAGGAAGAGTCACGCCCTGTTCTCAGATCAAGTTCAGAGTGCAGGCCCGGGTGTGTGCTAAACACCCAGTGCACGTTGGTGTTCTCATTTAGCTTCTCTGGGCTTCAGTTTTCTCATCTGAAAATTAGGGTTTGTGGTAATCCCCACCCTTCTTGCCACTTAATGCTGTTAACGTGTAGGGAAGTCCACATTTGTAAGTCGATTCTATTTTTCTATTTTAGCTTCAACAGAATGGGATCTCTCCACGCATGTTTAAGGCCTTTGTAAGCAAGAGTCACCCGGAATTCTCCTCTAACAGACAGCAAGATGCCCAGGAATTCTTCTTGCACCTAGTTAATCTAGTAGAGGTGAGTCAAAAATGCTCAAAGGGTTGTGAGACATGTGCCCAGCTCCTAAGTGCAGCCTGCTCTGGCTTGGCCAGGGCGCCCCCACACCCCCTTACCTAAATCTCTCACTGCCCGAGCTCCATCAGAATCAACTTCTTTGCGGTGTCTCTGCTCAGCCCACTTGATGTGACAGCTCCTTGTGTCCTGTTTTCCAAGCACTTGTAGATCTCCGTGCTCTCCGTTTATCTGTATGTGTTACAGGAGTGTTTACCGGATATTACATTCACCATCCTTTTTCCTTTTCCTTTGTTTTTTTTTTTTTTTTTGTGACAAAGCTTCTCGAGGGTCTTATGTGGTATTTGGAATCCTCCTGCCACCATTTAGAGTTGGCCACACTTTGCTCACTGCAGGGTTGAGTCACAATAAATGCTGTGGTTTTCAAAAGCCACTAAGAATTTATGATGAAAGATTTTTCCCCCTCTTAAAAACAACTATTTTTTCCTGATTACATATGTGTTCTTTGTGGAAAATATAGAAAGGTACAAAGAAGAAATATCAAAATCAACCATAATACCAGGCCCTACAAACAACCAGTGTTAACATTCTGGTGTCTGCCCCCAGGCATTTTCCAGGTGCATTTATTAATTCTAAGTAATGTTTCCACTTCACCTTCCGTGAACGTTTTGCCACGTTGTTACATAGTTTAATTTAGTGTGGTTTCTTTTCACTTGTATATAATTTACACGAGTGCATTTGTGTCATCACATTCATGGCTTCATTTTCCCAGGCCGGCCTGTACTATTTTCCATTCCATTTAGTGTGTCTTCCTCATCTCCTTTCTTCTCACTCCACCCAGGGCAGTCCTTCTCCTGTGATTTTTAATGGCTGCATGATATTAATTCACAAGAGGAATCGTAATTTATTAAGCCAGTCCCCATTTGGGGCCTCGAGATAAACCCCAGTGTTTCACTGTTCAAGTTCTCTGGTGAAATGGCATGCCCCAAGGGTTTGTTTCTACACAACCAGGTCTTTACGTCAGCCACATTTGATTTTATGCTAATTTTTTATGGCTTACTATTCAAAACCCCACTAACCTGATGTAATCTACCTTTCAGAGGAACCGCATTGGCTCAGAAAATCCAAGCGATGTTTTTCGGTTTTTGGTGGAAGAACGCATTCAGTGCTGTCAGACCCGAAAAGTGCGCTACACGGAGAGGGTGGATTACCTGATGCAGTTACCTGTGGCCATGGAGGCGGCAACCAACAAGGGTAACGCTTCTGCCCTGGGGAGTCGGCCGCGGGCTTCCTCACGTGTGAGCTCCCTGCAGGCAGCCCCCACCCTGCAGCCCCCGAACTGCCCTGCCAGGGCACCCAGCCCAGGTGGCGAACCCGATACCATCTTCCCCTCGGTCCCCATGGGACTTTCTTTTGAAAAGAATCAAACGCATCACAGACTTTTTGAAGGGATTATGGATGGAACTGGTTTCACTGCCTGTAAATTTGACCGAGAGTTTGGCTTGGAGTCAGCTTAGTTTGGGGGAAAATATTTCTAATTAGACATGTGGGAAGTTTTTAACAGCGTCATCGTAAGTTGTGCTATGGAGTCTGAGACAGATTACCAGAACTGCGCTTTTCAATATGAAACACTCGAGCAGAGGTCTCGTGAAGTAATCCAGCTTTGGCAACCGAGTGTTCCCGTTGCCCCTTGTAGATGATGCGGTGTTGCAGGTGCCGCGAGCCCCTTTGGAGGGGCCTCTGGACTTTGGAAGCAGGAAGAAGGCAGAGACACTGCATCCAGGTTGGAGTCCGAGGGGAAGGTTCCTTCAGTCTATCCAATCTGGTTCTTTCCAGGCAGAATAGATAAAATTCTATTTCTTAGAATTAACATTTTGAAAGCAGAAAAAGGCAAAATACCTGCCAGGTTGCTTCTGTCCTATGAGTGAGTCATTTCCGTAGACTCCAGCAGCTTCCTGGGTGCGCTTTTTCCTCTTTTTTGGGGAACCAACTTTATTGTGCTAGTTGGAAAGTGGTGATTATGGTGACTGCAAAATAAAAAGGTTTGCATTTCCTATAAGCTCCTGCAGCTTTTAAATTCTTATCCTTTATAAGGGTAGAAAGGAGGGCGAGGGTGTATGGTTTGTTTCCTTTTTAGAACTAGACTTCCCTTCTCTGGCGGACCTCAGGGATACTGACTCACACGCTCCGCTCAGTCCCGTGACCCTGCTTGACACACTGTTAAAATTTATGAGTGGTAACTATTTTGTCGAGGAAGGAGAATGATAATTCAGTTAGCCTCTGGATGTTGATTGCTGGAACCCCGAATGCCAGAATCCTAGATACAAGTACATTATCAACCGATGGTGGACTGGGAAGACGAATTTTAAAAGCATAGTCAGAAGGGTTTAAGAAAACACCTAAGTACATAAGCGTGCCCAAACACTGAATCAGGAGTGATTTTTCTTTTTTGGAATGCAAAAGGAATTCTCAGAAAGCCCCCTTCAGAATCTACATAAAATTTTGATTCTCAGGTGGTTTCCAGGAGCAGATCTGCTGACTCCTGGCAAGTTCACAGTGCGCTCCCTTCCTCTCTCTGGACGCTCAGTCCTGTGCGCAGGGGTGGTGTTGGGAGGCTGTCTGGGCTGGCGGCCTTGTTATCTGAGGTGGTGCGGGATCTCAGCCGGAGGTTGTCTTTGTGGTGTTGGTCCCACAGGCTGCGCTGTGGAGAAGTGCAGTCTTTACGGTTCCCTTTGCTCCCTGGCCCACACCCTGTGTCACCTGTATTCATCGAGAAAGGCCTGGGGAGAGGTGAGCCCTTGAGTTTCTTTCACTGTGAAATTCTCTGTGTGACGAATTTGTGATTGGAAGGTGGCATTGGGTAAATCAGCCTTGACCTCTGGACAAATGAGAGACCAAGGTTGTGCATCACTTATATCACATGCGTGGTCTGAAGCTCTCCCACCTGGGCCAGGGCTCACAGTTCCCCTTTGTCAGTCCCAAAGGGGAAGCAGCAAAAAATATGAATGGCTCAATGCAGCCTGTCAGTGCTCCTCTAAAGACACCCCAAGAACAGCCTTTGCATGGGCTTTTCTGTGAAGGGCAGCAAGTACGCAACTCTGCCCCAGCCTTCAAGGAAGAAACCTTCAGGGAAGATTGTCCAAAGGGGATGCTTTTCATTTCCAGAGAATAAGAGCGAGGCCCTGACTGGTTAGCTCAGTTGGTTAGAATGTTGTCCTGATATGCCAAGGTTATGGGTTTGATCCCCAGTCAGGGCACATACAAGCATCAACCAATGAATGCATGAATAAGTGGAATAACAACAGCAAAAAAAAAATGATGTTTCTCTTTCTCTCTCCCTTCCTCTCTCCCAAATATTTCTATATGTGTATATACAGATAAGCCTATCTGTAAAAGAAGACAAGAGCGATTGCAAAGACATTCACTTGCTTGCTCTTTTACTCAGATGAGCTGATCGCCTACGAATTAACGAGAAGGGAAGCAGAAGCGAACAGAAGACCCCTTCCTGAGTTGGTTCGCGCCAAGATACCATTTAGTGCCTGCCTTCAGGCCTTTTCCGAACCAGAAAACGTGGATGATTTCTGGAGTAGTGCCCTTCAGGCAAAGTCTGCGGGTGTGAAGTAAGTGTGTGTGTGTATGTGTGTACACACACCTATGCACTTCTGTGTGCTCATTTGGTGGTGGTGGAGTAAGGAGGGGGATTTAAGAGGTGGGAGCTGGGATAGGGGCTTGGTGATAGGGTGTTGTGAGAATCTGCGCATGCTTGCTCATGTGTGGTGAGGTAGGATTGTGATTCATACAACCTTCGTGGTTCTGCCCTCACTTGTGTGAGACCCCCACCCAGTGAAGCAGGCTTATTATGTGCTAGGGAGGGAATGCCTTTTTTTTTTTTTATCAAGAAGGTATAGCCAAATGCTCCCCACCTCCCTCGCAGGAATGATATTAATGAAGAAGTCACAAAAATACTTGTGACTGTCTTCATTATTTAAACTCTGCTCTGGTAGATTTTAATTCCATAATTAAATATTTGGCTGAGAACTTGGTTGACTGTGTTCCCACCTGGAGGCCAGGGGTCTCAGGGCCTCTCGTGGGCAGAAAGGCTGCTGAGCGTGTTCGGGTGAGCTGCTCGGGACTTGGGCTGGAGGTGTCCTGTTTCCACATTGCCGGCCTCGTTGTCAGGTCCATGAAGCGTTTTTTTTCTTCAGTTGACACCTTAGTGAATTTTATAGAGTCCAGCCCTTGCCGACACTCTGTAGTTTTAGAAAATGAGTACATATAGTGGCAAAAAATGAGGGGAGGTCTGAAAGTCTGACTCTGGGAGTTTTTCTACTTTTAGATATGCTTTGGCCATTTTTATTCTAGGCTAAGATTGAGCTTTAGTTGATGGAAAGGGGAGTGGAGGATGGAGGAACTATTGCTAGCTGTTTTCACCTCAACCTGCAGTAGCAGTTGAACCTAAATCACTGTTCTCTGCCACAGCCGTCCCCCAGGATTCCTCTGTCTTAGATAATTGACCTCATATGTCAAAAATGGGTAAACAAAAAGAACTTATTTTAAAAGCTAAAACCCTATTTTCTTAAAATAATTTACAGAAGGGTTCTTTACATCCAAATGAGGATTAGTATTAGTTCATTCAGTTATCAGTTATCCATTGCAGGGTATGTTTTCATCCTGGGGCCACTCGGGTTGTGTGTATATGTGCGTGCATGCACATGTGTGTATGTGTGTGCTTGTGTGCACACATGTGCATGTGTGTGTGCACGTGTGCTTGCAGATGATAGTTGGTATGTGAAATGTCACTATTCACTTCATTGCAGCTTGGACACACTTCGGGCAGTAAGGTGTCTACACATAATATCAGTGGTAGAAACAATTTCTGTAATTATCCCCCCCTTTTATTGATATGTAATTGATGTGTAACACTGTCAGTTTAAGGTGTACAACATGTTGATTGGATTTTGTTTTTTTTACTGTAAGAATTCACAGTAGGCTGAAGAATCCTCAACCATTGCGTTGAGACTCTCTCATTTTCTGTGAGAGTCTTTCCTTCTCAGGGAAAGCCAGTGATTTGCTCAGATTTGGAGTGAGTTAAGTAGCATATCCAAGACCCACCACAATTCATGTCTTAACTCTTTTTGGATCTTGCTCTGTCTCGGTACTGTGACTTCTCTTCAGCACTAGGGGGCAGCAGTGATTTGCATTTGTTTTCTGTGTTCTGGGAGGAAGTACAAGGCACTGACTTAGATTTGGAAAGTGGAGTTTACAGGGGAGACTGTCCAAGAAATTTTTATTTTAGAAGATATTTCTAGTACATGTATGCAGCTAATTTTATTTTTTTTTCCTTTACCTACCACATTCACATTGACACTGAAATAGAAATGATTGTTATAACTAAGATGACAAATATTGAGAGAACGAGCTGGAACCAGGACACGAATTAGGTGTACAAATTGAATAGTTTGTGTATAAAACAGCCAAACTCAAGTCCAGGCAACTCAGCCTTTCTTACCCAGGATATTTATACCTCTGGGATCCATGAGACCATGGATTTAGGTGCAGTAGTATTTTAATGAGGTCCTGGAAGTTCCTGAGAACCCTCCTGTGCCAACTCTGTGCTGTAAGATAGTGATTCTCAGTGGGAACAGAGGTGGGAGTGTGTCAGGATTGCTTGGGGAACTTTTTCAAATCCCACATCCAAACACATAATGCAAAAGGTAAAGGGGTTAAAAAGTACAACTTGGTAGTTACAAAACAGCCACAGGGAGGTAAAGTACAGCGAGGGAGTACAGTCAGTAATATTGTGATAACTATGTATGGTGCCAGGTGGGTCCTGGAAATATCGGGGGGACACTCTGTGAAGTATGTGACTGTCTAACCAGGATGCTGTACACCTGAAACTAATGCAAAATAATACTGACTATACAAAACCAAAAACAAAACACACAATGCATGCATGTCTACACGCACCTACAAATATATATAACATACTGAATTCCACCAAGGGTTTTAGAGAAAACTGATGTCTGGTTGAAAAGCGCTTTCCAGAAGTATAAAATGCCATAGTAAAAGTAGTAATTTGGCAATCGGTCTAAAATCATACAGAAAGGATGGTGCCCTTCTCCTTTAAGCGTTGTCTTTTTACGCAGACCCAGGGTGAATGAGCAGGAGTGGGTGAGTGGGTGTCTGCCCATGTCTGTCTGCGGTGGCTCCGCCTCAGCCCTGTCATCGGAGCTGTGGGTGCGCCTCACACAAAGTGTGTGATGCTGTGCTCACAGTTCCCAAGGCCTTGTTTCACTGACATAATGAATCCCCTTATGTCTCCCAGAACGTCTCGCTTTGCCTCATTTCCCGAATACTTGGTAGTGCAGATAAAGAAGTTCACTTTTGGCCTCGACTGGGTTCCCAAAAAATTTGGTAGGTATCTTGTGCATGCTTTTGCTTAAAACGTCAAATCAGCCATTTAAAAAATATGGCATGTGAAATAGTCATGAGTGATTGGCTGCCAGAATGAGTCCCATTTCATTCTTTTCCTGGTATTTCCATTTTCGTCTTTTGAAAAAGAGTATGTGATAAACACTGATGATAAAATTAGCATGTGCTAACCCACCCCTCTCGTCATGGGTTTGAAATGTGTGGATCCTGGGAGTGGATAAGGACCCCCATGTTACCACGTAAACAGTGCTTCCCGAATGTTAAGGTGCATACAGATTGCCTGGGAACCTTGGCAAAGTGCAGATGCTGATTCAGCAGGTCTGGGACCAGGCTTGGGATTCTTTATTATTTTATCATCGAATATTTTATTTAAAAAAATTATTTATTAAATTTATGGGGGTGACGTTAGTTAATAAAATCATACAGGTTTCAGGTGTACAATCCTATAAATACATCATCATATATTATACTGTGTGTTTACCACCCTAAGTCAAATCCTGTATCACCATTTTTCCCTTTTTATCCTCTGTACTTCCCCTCACCCACCCTTTCCCTCTGATAATCACCATAGTGTTGTCTGTGTCTGTGTCTCTGAGGTGTTTTTTTTGCTTAATCCCTTCACTGTTTTCAATCAGCTCACCAAATGCCTTCTCCTCTGACAGCTGTCAGTCTGTTCTCTGTATCTATGAGTCTGTTTCTATTTTGTCAGTTTATTTAGTTCATTATATTTCACATTTATATAAAATCATATGGTACTTGTCTTTTTCTCACTGGCTTATTTCACTTAGCATAATACTCTCCAGGTCCGTTCATGCTGTTGAAAAAGTTAAAATTTCCTTGTTTTTTCTTATGACCAAATAGTATTCCATCATGTAAATGTCCCACAGTTTTTTTATCCACTTATCTACTAGTGGGCACTTGGGCTGTTTCCAAACCTTGGGTCTTGAAAATAATGCTGCAGTGAACATAGGGGTGCAGGTATTCTGTCAAAATAATGTTTCAGGTTCCTTCGGAGATACATACCCAGCATACCCAGCATATGGAATCCTATCCATAGCCCAGCAAAAGAGCATACCCAGAAATGGAATCACTGGGTCATAAGGCAGTTCCATTTTCAAGTTTTTGAGGAAATTCCATACTGTTTTCCACTGTGACTGCACCAGCCTGCATTCCCACGAACATTGCACTAGGGTTTCCCATTTCTCCATATCCTCACCAGCACTTGTTTGTTGATTTAGTGATGACAGCCATTTTGACAGGTGTGAAGTGAAATCTCGTTGTGGTTGTAATGTGCATTTCTCTGATGACTAGTGACATTGAGCATCTTTACATATGTCTATTGGCCATCTGTATGTCCTCTTTGGAGGAGTGTCTGTTCAGGTCCTTTGCCCATTTTTTAATTGAATTGTTTGTTTCTTTGGTGTTGAGTTTTATAAGTTCTTTATAAATTTTAGATAATAACCCCTCATCAAATGTATCATTGGTAAATATGTTCTCCCATTCAGTGGGTTGCCTTTCCATTTTGTTGATGGTTTTCTTTGCTGTGCAAAAACTTTTTAGTTTGATGTAGTCCCATTTATCTATTTTTCCTTTTGTTCCCCTTGCCTGAGGTGATATATCTGAAAATACTTTTTCTTTTTACTTATTTTTATAAGTTGATCTTTTACATAACTTTTTAGACTCTATTTTGTTTATTTACTCTCTGATCGTTATTATTTCCTTCCTTCTCCTTACTTTGAGTTTTGTTTGTTGTTCTTTTTCTAGTATTTTAAAGTGTAAAATTAGATTGAGATTTTTCTTGTTCCTTGAGGTAGGCTGGTAATGCTATGAATTTCCCTCTTAGGACTGCTCTCACTGTGTCCTCATAAGTTTTGTCCTCATTTTGATTTGTTTCAAGGTATCTTTTGATTTTTTCAAGGTATCTTTGATCTCATTGTTAACCCATTCATTGTTTAGTAACATGTTATTTGGCCTCCATGTCTTTGTGTGTTGTTTAGTTTTTTTCTTGTGATTGATGTCTAGTTTCACTATTATGGTCAGAGAACATGCTCAATATGATGTCAGTCTGCTTAAATTTATTGAGACTGGTTTTGTGCCCTAACGTGTCCTGTACTAGAAAATACTCTGTGTATACTAGAAAAGAATATGTGTTTTGCTGCTTTGGGGTGAAATGATCTGAAGATGTCAATTAAATCCATCTGAACTAGTGTGTCATGTAAGGCCACCGTTTCCTTGTTGATTTTCTGTCTGGAAGTTCTATCTATTGATGTCAAAATCCCCTAATATTTTTTTATTACAGCTGGTCTCTCCCTTTATGTCCGCCAATATTTGCTTTATTTAGGTGCTTCTGTCTTGGGTGTGTAAATGTTTACTAGTGTTATATGCTCTTCTTGGATTGCTCTTTTTTTCATTAGGTAGCATCCTCCTTTGTCTCTTACTATAGCCTTTGTTTTAAAGTCTATTTTTTCTGATGTAAGTATTGCTACCCCAGGTTTTTCTTTTCCGTTTGCATGAAATATCTTTTTTTCATCCCTTTTAGTTTGTTTTCCATTCTGAGGTGGATCTCTTGTAGACAGCATGTATGTGGGTCTTGTTTCCTTACCCATTCAACTACTCTGTGTCTTTTGATTGGATTATTTAAGCCATTTACATTTAAAGTGATTATCAATGGGTTCATATTTATTGCCATTTTATTCTTTTAACTATATTTTTCCATTTTTCCTTCTTTTTAAAGAAGGAAAATTCTTTATTTCTTTTTTTATTGTTGTTCAAGTGCAGTTGTCTCCATTTCCCCCCCACCAGACCCCCCCACCCCAGCCATCCCCACCTCCCACCCTTGATTCTACCCCCTTTGGCTTTGTCCCTGTGTCCTTTATTTCTGACAAGCTCCCAGGTGATGCTGCTGTTGCTGCTCCAGGGCCACACTTGGAGGTGCAAGTACAGTAATTGAAAATGCATTCTTCTCTTAGCACTGTTCCTGTGCTTCTGAAGCAAGCTAATGACAGTCTCTTAAATAATACAAGTCTTATTAATAATAAAATGAATATAGTCAGTTGCATTAAAAAGGGATATGGTTTTGGCTTAATTAGATTTCTTCCTTTCTACTTTTAAAAGACCTTGACCATTGTTAGAGGACAATGCATAAGAACATTTTTCTACCATCATGATCTAATTCTAAGGGCGTTTGTAGGCTATCCTTAGTGGCACAGAAAGATGTCCAGTTTTACGCTCTGTGGTTTCTCATGCAAGTACCTCAGGCTGTTTGCCAGTCTTTTAAAGTTATGTTTTGAGCACTTAAAAAACAACTACTCAGGTTTTACACTGGTTAATTAAGGATTCATCTGTTCATCTGAAGGGAATGAGTAAAAAGAATGGAAAATCGACTGCAGTGATGTCCCAGAATCCTCCCACCCTAACAGTTTACATAGCACTTGTTTGACATCCTACTGGGCTGTGACTGATTCTCTGGCAGATTTTTACTCTTTCTGGTGGAGTGATTTTGAGGGCATGAAGGAGGGCAGAGGGCAGGATGCTCATCACAGCCTTTTCTCCGCAGACCTGAGAATTACCTGAGAAAACAATTTCTTCTGAAGGCTCTGAACTGCTCTGGAAACAGTTCTCTTATTTTTTTTGTCCTTGGAATTCCTATAAAGAAACAAAAATTCAGATGAGATTTCATACACTTGCTGAATTTAAAGTCCCAAAGCTTAGTGTAATGAACATGAATTTTTCTGTTGAGAAACAATTGTATTGATTTTGTGGGTCAGACATACTTGTTTTTGCTGCCCCTTGAGATTAAAAATTTTTTTTAAATAAGCTTTTTCTTTTGGTTGTTGTTTTAAAGTAGGACTGTTATACCAGGCATCTTAACTGGTGTAGGAGATACTATTTTCAGGTTCTGTTTGCTGGCCCAAGAGACACATCCTACACTGACATTTGAACCCATTTATTACTATACTTGAATATATGTGATACTGAATATACCCAGATATTAGACAGGTAAGTTTTGTATTTGATAAGTCAACACAAGAACAACTGAGATGAGAAGTTAAAAACAATGTACTCAAATACTAGTACACTTCAGATTCAACTAATACCTTTAAAACTTCATTCTTTATTTTTCAAGTTAGTTAAGTCAAATTACTCATCACGGGGTTAAACCTTAGTTAAATCATATTACTCATCACAAACTAGGTGTTACAAACTCAAATGCCCAATGAGGACAGGGTGATAACGTAAATTAAAGAAATGGGTTGGGTATACAAGACAGGTAGCTAGGTAGCTTGGTCTTTCTTGGGTGTCACACTATGGATAAAGACTTGGCTTAGAAAAACACTTTTCCACCATGAGAATCATAGTAGCACAAATATGACGCCCAGGGTCATGAGGAGCGGTGAGGTCTGTGACAGATTGTTGCAGGGGGCACCCATAGGAGAATCTGCTTTGTTTTCCAAAATAGAGTAGAATCTGGATTTCTAAATTAAAATCTTCTGATTTAAAACTTGAAATTTGTGGCTAACATTTTAAAAACACACAGAAAGTATCCGGGCTACAAATGGTCTGTTGGCTGCTGGTCAGCCACCTCTGGCTTGTCCCATTTGTCCTTGTTCAATGTAAAATCCTGCCACCCTCTGTACTTCCCCCTGGGTGTCCATTAAAACCTAATCAGTCCTGATGAGTCTCCTGGTCCAGTGATTACTCCAGGGATCTGAAATCGCCCCTTAGCTCTGCCTAGACATATGCATGTAGAGTTAGTAGTGCTGATTTTAGGAGGTTATTATGGGATTTTGTAGAATCCTTTCAATGTAGCCTTTTTCATTTTGCAGATGTTTCCATTGACATGCCAGACCTACTTGATATCAGCCATCTCCGAGCCCGGGGGTTACAGCCAGGAGAAGAGGAGCTTCCGGACATCAGCCCCCCCATAGTCATTCCTGATGACTCAAAAGGTATCATCTTTCAGGAGGATGTTCCCCTCCCGCCACCTCTTCTGCTGAAATAGTCACTTTTCCCCAATCACTCTGTTGTCCTTTGACTGCCTTCCTCTGTTGTAACCCACCATAGACACACAAGTGAGGCCTGGCTGTGACCGTAAACTTAAACTAGACGTGTCCCAGACCCATCACGAGTAGTTGGAAGGCACCTGTGGAAACCACTGGCAACAGAGGGCGGTCAGTCCCCAGAAAGGTTTTAGGTTATGTTGCCTCTTGCATTGCTTTCTTCCTCTCTCTACTTGTCCCAAATGGACTGATAGGGGAGAAGGAGTGTGTTTTCAGGAGGCTCCTGGTCTAGGGGAGCCATGTCTTTTCCCGGAGTGCCTTTGGACAACCAAAGGGGACATTCAACAGTGTGTGTTGGTTTTAAGCATGTTGCCCACATGTCATCTCCCTAGCTTCATCATCCTAGCATCACATAGCAAGAAAGTGGTCTGAGTTTCTCTTTCACTTCGCTGAATTGGTCATTGTTCATAATGCTTAACTTTGGAAGGGAGAAGGACATGCAAGAAGTAGTTGCCTCACCTTTGTGGTTCCAAGGACGGTGCTGAAAAAGCTCGGTTCCATTATTAGTTCACTTATTTTCACGAAACCATTTTCGTTCTGGCTTTGTTTGCTCACCCATTTACTGTTCACCTTCCTGGAGAGTTCATTTTAAGTGAATAATTTAGAGGGATAGAGCACTCTGGGCCCCTCTACCAAAGGTGTTTCATCAGTGGAGCCGTGACTATTATTGGTGACTCAGTTTGAGTGCACAAGGAGGGTGAGGTGAATCCAAGACAGGATTCCAGGTGGGCATCTCTGTTCCATCGTTCCCTAATGCTGAGTCATGTGTCAGAGCACAGGGCATGGAGACCTGTGCCTGGGACACTCTGGGCTCTGGGTACAGGTCGTCCTTTGAAGGAATTTAAGGAAGATCGGTATAAATATCACAGAAGTACAAGATGGCCTGTTAGCACTGCTCTTGCTTTCTCTGAGATTCATAATGGAATCCTTGGCTTTTAATTATACAGAGTTCTTAGAAATACACGGAGAGAACTCATTTAGTTCATTAAGATGATAATCAGAGCATTATGTTTTATCTGCTCTGAAGGCCGGAAACCTGGTATTTTTCCTCCTTGCAGTAATGATTTTATGTTGGGCAGGCTGGGTGGTCTGTGGGGACCTGAGGGGTGACAGAGTTAGGGACTGTTCTACATGGATTCTTTTTCTTTCTCTAAAATAGTCTGCCATAGTTTGGTCTCATTTTTTTTGCTCTCTCTCTTAATTTCCAGATCGCCTGATGAACCAACTGATAGACCGTATGTATCTTTTAAATTTTTTTTCAGTGTCCTAGAATTATTATTGGTCTGGTCCACTTATCTGGGCAGTTCAGTAAAGGGGCATTTTTCTATAAGTGTGTATATGCAGCTTTTCCTCAGTGGAAATGATTCTTTGTCTGCAAGTTGAGGTAGCAAATATAAACCAGTGACATGGTGACTAAGTGGCCCTGTAGCTCGGGAGAGTGGCCATTAGCATGAGAGCCATTTAGGACTGTGAGGCTTATAATAATTTACTTAGTTTCTCTGCGCCTCAGTTTCCTCATGAATGAGTCGGGGCTATTGACGCCATTGCTTTCCTCTCTGGCCACGTGAGGAGGCCTTTTTCTGAAGTGGAAGCACAGTGGCTGGTCATTTCCTGTGCTCCCAGTGCTGACATGCAGTGAAGACACACAGCTGACAGGACGTGGTAGTGTTGATTAGAACTCCCAAGGTTATTAGTTTCATTAGATTGTGTGTTAGTTTTGTGGCCTTTTATTTCCTTTAATCCTTTTGGTTTTCTAAAAAGAATATTAAAAAATAAACTATTTATAGTGAACATTTAGATATTAGGAGAAAGAGGGAGTGTTTAAATACTCTGACTATTTTTGTCTACAAAGCCTTCCTCGAGACAAACTATTGTTAACATTTGGGCTGTTTCCCAGAGTTGATTACTTCCTTTGATTACTGATATACCTAAAGGCCTGCGATGACTTCCTGTGAGATTTAAGGAACAGGCCTTCTGGGCTGTAGATAATGCTTTTCTCTTCAAATTTCAGTCATAGGAGAGGCTGCTGAGAGTTCTTGAGTATGATATGAGAGGCTGAAATGGTTCTGGGGATACACTCAATCTCCCCTCACAAAGTTAGAGAATTGTTTTTCAAGGCTTGGGTTGCCCAGGTGATTATCATGGTTCCTATTGAGGGCAAAGATTTAGGTCAGCTCAACTCCAGTAGCTTAATATTTGGATGGCTTAAAGCAAAGCAAAACAAAGTTGAACCACCATTTGTACACCAGACAAAATAGCACTTTCTTTGGATGGCATGTGGATAAGGGGGTGAAGGGAAGCTGAGGCAAGAAGAGGGTTTACCTTTTTACATCAGAATGCCCTGTTGTGCTCTGTAGCATCAGACATTGATGAGTCATCGGTGATGCAGCTGGCCGAGATGGGTTTCCCTCTAGAAGCATGTCGGAAGGCTGTGTACTTCACTGGAAATATGGGAGCTGAGGTGGCTTTCAACTGGATCATCGTTCACATGGAAGAGCCAGGTACGTGGTGGAGAAATGGAATAGCTTTGGAGTCTGATGCAGTCCCTAGTGATGTTGTGCATAGGACAGTGATGCCTCAGTCCCCTTCAAAGTAGGCACCTTGGGACCTCCCACAGTTCTCCCAATTGCCATTGGCTGCTCTGCCATGCTTTCCTGAATCTCATCAATGGTCTGAAATCTCTTCCCTTTAAAAGCTTATTTTACTTTGGGGAAAGCCAGAAGATGCTGGGCACCAAATCTGGACTACAGGGGACCTGAGTCACCTGGGTGATTTGATGTTTCCCTGAAAAACTCTGCATGAGACGTGATGCATGAGCAGTTGTGTTGTCGTAATGAAGCTGCCAGTCACCACTGGCCCATAGCTGTGGCCTTCTGAATCATCCAAGTAGTTTCTGTGGATGAATGTTCAAGCTTAACACAAAATTTGATGCAGATTCATTGCTCTACTCACCCAGTCATTTTGAATGTGATAGCCACACAGTACACATGCAGTCATAGGAGAAAGACTCAATGGTGTCTACTGCCCTCACTGACTAGTACAGTGAAATCATTATTGTTCATGCATGTGCATTCCATTCCCTTCTCCTGGCTGCCAGGTTATATCAATGTTGCACAGACTTCTCTTGTTATATTAACAATGGCTGGAGTTTTTCCAGGCAGACCTCATACAGGGCCTATTTCTGGACACTCAATTCTGTTCTATTGGTCTGTATGTTTATCTTCATGCCAGTAACGACTTCTTGATTATTGTAACTTTGTAGGTGTTTTTTTTCCTTCTTGGCTTTGAAGTGTTTATTTTAAGACCAAAAAATGAAAAAAGGCCTAAGTGTGATTATTTTCCTCAGATTTTGCTGAACCATTGACCATGCCTGGTTACGGAGGGGCAACTTCTGCTGGAGCCTCTGTTTTTGGTGCTACTGGGTTGGATAACCAGCCTCCGGAAGAGATTATAGCTATCATTACCTCCATGGGATTCCATCGAAATCAGGCCATTCAGGCGCTACGAGCCACGGTAAGCATGAGAGACTATGTGGTGGATCCCTTCCTCTTATTGGAGTGGTTTGTATTTCATCAGTAGCAATTGAGACTTTCCAATGTTTTTTGGGTCATGTTTATCTCACTCTGTACCCTACCATGGATGGCCCACAGAGATTTATTTGCATATAATATATATAAAGCTTTAATAAATGAATGAGGATATCATACAGAGAGTTTAAAACTAGGGAGACAGTTAAAAATAGGGAGGCAATACAACTGGGGCAAGATGACGAAACTCAAGAAACTCCACTGTTTATTAACAGGGTCAGAGATTTGACTTGGAGCTTGCTTGTGGCCTTAGAGCCGAGAGGGGTGCATGAGATTCTGTGTTCAATAAGGCAGTTCTTTAGGAAAAATTATGCTTTTCTGATACTATGACATTGGAGAAGTGTCCCCGGAAGTCCTCATGGCAAAGACTGAATGTCTCCTTGGAATTCTCTGCTTCTGTTTCTCTCTGCAAATGAGAGAACTTTCTTCTGGTATTCCTGAACTTTGTGATACTGGAAGGAGAGAAGGCACCATGAAGCTAGAGGATACATAGAAGTCTTCCTTTTGCAGTGCACATAGCTGTTTAATATTGAGGGAAAGTACTTTTTTTTTTTAAACTCATCCTTCCTTGCCATCCACTGTTCCATTTTTGAGTTGTCTGCTGCCGATTCCTTCTTGCCTGTCCTGGCCGGTTGCCTGCTGGGGTGCATTGCTGAGGTCGCCACAGTCCTTGGCTGAAACATCTCACCTCGCATTTGTTTCGCTTGGGGTGCTTGCTTATGTCAAGGGGTACTGCTTATTTTACTTTACTCTTTCATTGGAGATTCTCACTATGTCTAAATAAACTCACTACCCCTCCAGTGAAAGGGGGGGGATGGACATGTTTTTCTGGTCAGTTGGTTTGAACTGTGTGGAGGTCAGTTTAGAACAATTTAACTTAACAAACCAGTGTTGTCATCGTTAATCAAGGCATTCATTTTGTCTTTGCTGCAGTTCAACCATTGTGCCAACATTTGGGGAGCGGAGGCATTAGTATAGTGCTCACATGGGCACCCTTCTACCTGGCATCGTTATCTGCAGGAAATACAGTTGGTAGAGAATGTAGTGTGTACAATCATTGTGGCCTTAGAAAGGGCTGCACTCAAACGAATGCCAAACTTTTTGGCATTCTGCACCCCGTCATTATCGGCATCAGCCTACAGAAATGCTGAGCAAAGACTGATAGGGGCTTTGGAGTGCTGATCCGCTGCTCAGAACTGTTTTCCAGTGAATCAAGTTACAGGCCTCTGCTGGGAGATGTGCAGAATGCCAAATGCATTTTATATGCAGAGTCAGAGCTTCTTCCTCTGAAGACACTCAGGACTAATGAATTCAGGCCTCCTGCCCTAGCTGCTTGACTCCCTGGTTCAAATGGTCAGGATATAATGAGGCCTGGGGACTGCATACATTGTAAACATGTTTTATTTCATTAGAATAGTAACCTGGAAAGAGCACTGGATTGGATCTTTAGCCACCCTGAGTTTGAGGAGGACAGTGACTTTGTGATCGAGATGGAGAATAACGCCAATGCCAACATCATTTCCGAGGCCAAGCCCGAAGGACCTAGAGTCAAGGATGGATCTGGAAGTAAGTTCCTTGCCTGAGGGCTGGTCTGAGCAGCTGTGACTGTGCCCTCAGCTCAGGACTTTCCCTCCCACTGCTCCCTCGTGTCGAAACCTTTGCCATCATTCCAACATGGGCACACATTTCGTCTTCTCCTACACGGTGTGTTTTGCCACTTTTCATGGCCACTGTGATTTAATAATGTCTTGGACAAACTTGGAGTCCTGTTACCTAGTAGTGTGTGTACTTAAGTTTAGTGGCAGCTTTGACTTTGTCCTGTGAGATGAAGTGTTTTCATGCAGCATGGAAGTTTTTGTCTGAAAGAGAGCATCTATTTTCATGTGGTATTTTTGAGCAGGTGAAGAGCAGTCTCACACCTGTGACCCTGTCATTGTCCTCATTAACTGCTGATAATATTCTGAAGGGCTGTCAGGGGGGCAGGAAGAGTTGCCATCGTCCAGTGCTCCACCTTTTGAGAGCAAACACTTAATGCATGTTGCTGTGTGCCAGGCACTGTTCTAAACACTGTGTCTATATATGGTCATTTAATCCTCAACACACCCATTTTACAGGTGAGAAAACAGACACACAGAAAGATTAGGTACCTTGCCCGAGGTCACACAGCTCTTAAGAGGTGGAGCCAAGATTCACACCCAGAATCCATGTTCTTCAGCATTGTGATCACCCTGCTTCTCAGACTGTCATTGCCACAGAATAATGCTCATTGTCTTTAGCCTGGCATTTGTCACCTCCTCCAGTCAGATGTCAGCCTACCTTGTCTCTCAGTGTCATTTCTTCTGCACCCCCGTCCCCTGCCCAAGTTCACATGCCACAGCACTAGCCCCGTCAGCTGTCACTGACCCTCTTCTTCGCTCAGGTGAATTGTTAGTTGTGAAATGCCCTTCCTTCCCATCACCGCACACTAAAATCCTTACCATGATTTGTAACTGAGCCACAGATTCTGTTTCCCTGGGTGGCTTTCCCAGGCCTTGTCAAACTCAGTCCATCCTTACGTCACATGCTCATGATAATTATACCAGTATTGACAACACCTCCATTGCACCACCTTGAATCCTCACAATAATCCTACATGGTAGGTTTTGCAGATGAAAAAACCATGGGAAAGAAGGTTGGTTGCCAAGGTCACATAGCCAGCGCTGGGTAGAACCAGAATTCCAGCCCAGACAGTCTGCCTGCAGAGCCCGTGCCCAGGGTCGCTGTAACATAGCATGGGCTTGTTCTTCTGTTATCAGAGGTGCCAGATTCCTCTTGGAGGAAAATCAGTTATGTCGATCTCTGTGTCTCCCAGTTGACTGGGAGCTTGTGGAGCACAGAGGCCATTTTACTTTTATAAAGCTCCTGGTGTCTAGCACACAGAAAGTACCAAGTACAATATAAGTGGATTTAGTTAAGTTCACACTAGCAGCATTTGTTCCTGCTGTCACGTAGCTGTAGCTCTGCTTCTTCATGGTCTTACTAGACCTAACATGTACGTATTGATCTAGCTCTAGAGAGAGAGGGTGGTGGGAAACTTTCTTCTCCTTTTATATAAAATAGGTAAGAAAAGGATGAGAGAGAGTTCTCCCAGCTTCCACAGTCATCTAAAGGGTCTTGTATTACGTTTTGGAAACCAGTGCTTTGTCTAAAATATTAAACTCTGTGAACAGAGAAGTTACCTGATAACCCGTGAGCGGGATTTATTACGTGTCACGTGTCCATTGGCTCGCTGCTTCCGTGACTTTCTGTAATGGACGCGTTGGTGAGTCCTTCTCACCGAACAAATAAATCACAAGATGGGGCCACTGTAAAGCTACCAAGATATTTGGCTGCAGAAGGAGGGACAGCCTGATTATTAGGGATTTCCATCTTCTGGTGGAGCCTGGAGGGACCCAGCCACGCTCTCAAAGATGGTCATTAATGATACAAACAGCCACATCCTCTCCTTGGGCTTCCTGAACTCAGTGATCTGCAGGTATTCCTGGCACTACTAGTTTTGAGTTGCATCCTTGAATAGGATGTGCAACTTTGAAGCACCCTTTGATTTAAAGACATTATGGGTCAAACTCTGTGGCCTTATTCCTCATTGCCTCCAAATGTAGGTCACTGGTGGGTGGCGGTGGGGAAAGAGACAGTGATACACTATGAGAAGTCACATACGGGATGTGCAGAACCTAAGGGCAGTAGTAGGTGAAATTTTTAATTATGAAAAAAAGACAAGCATAAGCCACCCTAACTCTACAAATAAATTTTGTTTGTGAACAGACATTAAAATAGCCTTTTTAGCACTGTGTCTGGCCCCTGGGAGGTGATTGGCAAATGAATGGTTGAATGAAGAATTGAATGAATGCCAGGAGGTAGTGGTCACAGGGGTAGGTTTTCTTTTTTGCTTTCTCTACCAAGTGCCACACGGAGGAATCAGCATCCTATTTTGTGTTACTTTGCATATATCACAGGAAAGGAGAAAGACGTTTTCTTGTGCTTTGTTGCATTAGCACCTGAACTCTTGTCAGTGGCTTCTCTCTTTAAAAAAATGATCATTTATAGTATTTATTTTTTTCTTATAATTAAAAGGATATATAATAATTTTAGCAACTTCAAAAAATACAGATATTTGAAAAAGGAAACTAAAAATGACTCTATAAACTTTCTTCTCAGCCATAACAGCTGTTAATGTTTTTTTAAATTATATTTTACTGATTGTGCTAATACAGTTGTCCTGATTTTTCCCCCTTGCCCCCCCCTCCACCCAGCACCCCTTACTCCCTCAAGCAATCCCTTTATCATTGTTCTTGTCCATGGGTCATGTGTATAAGTTCTTTGGCTACTCCATTTCCTATACTGTACCTTACATCCCCATGGCTATTCTGTAACTACCAATTTGTACTTAATCCCCTCAGCTCTTCTTGCATTTCCCCACAGACCTCTCCCATCTGTCAACCATCAAAACGCTCTTCGCATCCATGATTCTGTCTCGATTTTTCTTGTTTGCCTAGGTGGTTTTTTAGATTCAGTTGTTGATAGATATGTATTTTAGCCATTTTATTGTTCATAGTTTTAATCTTCTTTTTCTTAAATAAGTCCCTTTAACATTTCGTATAATAATGGTTTGGTGATGATGAACTCCTTTATTTTTTTGTTGTCTGGGAAGCTCTTTATCTGCCCTTTGATTCTAAATGATAGCTTTGCTGGGAAGAGCAATCTTGGCTGTAGGTCTCTGCTTTTCATGACTCTGAATATTTCTTGCCAATCTACTCTAGCCTGCAAAGTTACTTCTGAGAAATCATCTCACAGTCTTATGGGAACTCCCATGTAGGTAACTAACTTCTTTTCTCTTGTTGGTTTTAAGATGCTGTCTTTATCTTTGTTACCTTTGGCATTTTAATCATGATGTGTCTTGAAGTGGACCTCTTTGCATCCATCTTGTTTGGGACTATACTTTCTGGACTTGTATGTCTATTTCCTTCACCATCTTTGGGAAGTTTTTCATTATTTTTCAAATAGCTTTCCAATTTCTTGCTCTTTCTCTTCTCCTTCTGGTACCCCTATGATGTGAATGTTGGATCTCTCAAAGTTGTCCTGTCCTCAGAGACAACTTCAGAGGCTACTTAAACTATCCTCAATTTTTTGGATTCTTTTTTCTTTTTGTTCTGGTTGTTTTTTTTTTCTTCCGTATGTTCCAAGTCATTGATTTGATTCTCAGCTTCATTGACTTCACTGTTGGTTCTCCGTAAATTGTTCCTTATTTCAATTAGTGTATCCTTCCTTTCTGACTGAATCTTTTTTATGCTGTTGAGGTCCTCGTTAAATTCCTTGAGCATCTGTATAACCAGTGTTTTGAACTCTGCATCTGATAGATTGTTTATTTCCATTTTGTTTAGTTCTTCTTCTGGAGTTTTGATCTGTCCTTTCATTTGGGCCATGTTTCCTTGTCTTCTCATTTTGGCAGCCTCCCTGTGTTTGTTTCTATGTATTAGGCAGAGCTGCTTTGACTCTGTCTTGGTAGTGTGGTCTAATGTAGTAGGTGTCTTGTAGGGTCCAATCACTCTTAATGTTTTGTGTTATTCTTTAGACCTTTCTATGCAAATACATAAAGTGAATATAAATATTTATATTTATAAAGATATAAATTCTGTTCTATACATGGTATTTTATAATCTGCCTTTCCCCTAACTCTGGGCATCCATATATGTAAGTCTAGATCATAGAACATATATTAATAACATTTCATTGTATAGATGCACCATAATTTATATGCCAACTAATTTTAAGCCAACTAATTATTTAAATAAAAGATGATTACAGAGTTTTAATTAATGAGGTTATTTGCACATTTAGAAGCTGAGAGTAGTGATTTTTTAAAATTTTCGTAAAGGATGAATTCTGTTGATGGAACTACATACAGCAAATGCCTCTTTGAATCACTGTGTAGGTAATAAATATTTGTTCACATTTAAGTTTCTTCCCTTTCTTCCCTATTAAAAATAGTACTGTAGTGAACATTCTTGAGCCCTCATTTTATTATTTCCTTAGAATAATTTCTAGAAGTGAAGTTTATGAGTCAAAACTACAATTTTCTGTTTTGGTTTTAATACAGGATTGTTACCTTAGCCCCCAGAAACACACCCTGGCACTTCTCCTCTTCTCTGTTGGGCTGAATACTGTTCATAATTTTTAATATTTTTATTGCCTAGTTGTTTTTCTTCTTGGGTTAATCACTTCTTCATTTTCTTTGGCCCATTTCCCATTTTTATTGAGGTTTTCAGCTGTTTTTTATGGCTTTGTTAGAGAGTTTCATGTATTAGCTGTTAGTTTGGGAATTTTGGCATCTTTACAGTATTCGATATTTTCTTACCAGAAACATGTTATTCTTTTCCTTTATTCCTGTTTCCCTTCCCCTCCAGCCCCTGCAAAGCTATGTGGTTTTCTTTATAAGTGTCCTATGCATTTCCAGTTCATTTACTTCTCAGAATTCCATTTTCTGTGTTACTTATGAATAAAAATGTTCCCGTTATATTTTCTGAATT